GATTACGTCACTCACCTTGCTCATTTGATTTTATTTTGGTTTCTAACCCATCAACGAAATTTATTATCTAAAATTTACAATTCTAATAATTTTATTTTAATATAGAAAAAATCCCCATTTAGACATTTAGAAAACAGAAAGATTGAGCGAAGAAATATTTACTTTTCAATTAGATCCTCATCTCTGGCTCTACTCTTATATATATACCCATAGCATTTTTATTACAATACACAACAATTTACCAATCAAGTGGCACTGATATGTTTGTTAACAATAATTAGTCAATGTCAACATTTCAATGCGACAGGTGATAATTAACGAAGAAAATTAATTACACACAATTACAAGGTAGAAATGTTTGCAACACATGGATTGCGTAATGCATAATTTTCGAAAATGAAGAGTAATTAAGGAATAAGCGTGTGCACAGGCTGATTACGTAACAGATCATTAAAGAAAATAAAACGATTTGAACCATGATAATTTGTAACTAAGGATGAAGTGGTCATAAGAATAAAATAATTTTAAATCACGAAAAATACCCATTTATTCATAAGTAGAAACACAGTTTTTGTTCAGCGAAGAAATTTCTTTTCAACGACTTCATTTTCAAGCTGTACAGTCGTATTTATATTACAGAAAAGGTCATTAAGTGGCACTAAATAATTGCTCAGTCAATATACATATATGTGATAAGAATAACGATAATTAAAATGTTATAAGGGGTAGAGTTGAAGTGGATAAATTAAAAATTTATTAAAGATTGTTTTATAAGTGAATTGAAATCAAAAATGTTTTAAAAATGTCAAGTGTTGTCTAAAAATTTTAAAAACTTAGGAGTACGATTACGATAAGAATGAAGATGTGAAGTGAAGGGGAAAGAATTCAAGTGGTAAAATAAAATAAAGTAAAAACTAGAAAGAACATTACTATGACCAAGGTAAAGAAAGGGGTTTGACAAAACGTTTTTGAACACATAATTTAGGTTTCTGTTCATGTATAGCTAAAGCTTCGGCTATGCATATTGTCGAATTCCTCATTTCACTTCCTTGGTGTTAAGCTAGATAGAAGAGAGAATGGCACGTTGTTAAGGTCGATTTACCGAAAGCCAACATTCACTGGGCAGTACACTAACTTCAACAGTTGGGCACCGTTAGGGAGAAAGAGAAATCTTATTCATTCCTTATGCTATAGAATTCGTAAAATCTGCTCTGCAGAGACAATCGATAGTGAACTAGATAACCTTCGATCAAATCTCCTTAATGGTTATCCTAAAAGGTTTATCGAACGTAACATCAAGAAAGAACACGTCCCTAGACAAATTACAGTGCCAAAGAAGAAACTGTTTATGAGTCTGGCATTCAAAGGTGACACCATTTCTGAATTGATTAAAAATCGTTTATCTAAATGTATTAAGCGCTCTTTTCGTGCAGCTGACTTACAACTAGTTTTTATCAGCCGAAATATTAGACAATGCGTCAAGGATAGATTACCGTTTTTGTCTACATCCATGTGTATTTACTCTTTTACCTGCTCTTGTGGAGCTGTTTATATTGGACGTTGTAGGCGTAATCTCCGAAAACGTGTAGCTGAACACTATCCAGTCTGGTTAATGAAAGGCGAACGTAGAACTACGAAGTCGTCTATTTGTGATCACCTGTTATAATCTGGTTATTTAGCCCGACGTGATTCATCTTACAAAGTTATCTACATGGCAAAATCGAATCGCTCCAAAAGTTTACGTTTGCTTCACTTATGCATAGCCGAAGCTTTAGCTATACATGAACAGAAACCTAAATTATGTGTTCAAAAATGTTTTGTCAAACCCCTTTCTTTACCTTGGTCATAGTAATGTTCTTTCTAGTTTTTACTTGAACGCACAGGTCGGGCGTCTAAGCTCAGAGGAGAGTCGTCTAGGTGGTCAGTGGGGACTACATGGTCGCAGGTCAGATAATGGGGACCGTCTTCTGCAGCTTTGCACGGATCACAACCTATTTCTAGCCAGCACCAACTTCCGGCACAGCCATCGCCGTAGCGCTACCTGGCGTCCTCCCTCTGCGAAGCAAGCTTGGACTCAGATTGATCATATGGCGGTCAGTTTCCGGTGGCGAGGATGCATACAAGACTGTCGCTCCTTCTGGAGCACATGCCTGGACTCCGATCATGCGTTAGTGTGTGCCAAGTTCGTCTTGCGATTTGGTGGGGTTCGTAAAAACCGTCGTCTAAGCGTTGATGTGAGCAAACTAGTAGCACCTGCTACTTCTTTGAAATATCAGAACGAGTTGAAAACAATGCTTGCCAGCAACCCCCCAAGTAGTATAGATGAACACTGGCTTCATGTGCAAGGTGCCATGCAAAAGGCGAGTGTAGCCGCTTGCGGCTTGAAAGAATGCTCCGCTAACAACCACTGGGTTTCTGCGAGTTCCTTGCAACTCATGGATGAACGCCGGTCCATTCCGGCTGGCAGTGAATACAACAATCAGCGAAAGGCGCTCACGCGCAAGATTAGACAGTGTTTACGTAAGGACCGCGAAGCCTGGTGGTCAGAACGTGCGTATGAGATGGAGTCAGCTGCTGCATCTGGCAACAGTCGGAAGCTGTTCCAACTCATACGAGCCACCGGCAGCAAGAAACAAGGTGTCAGCGAGACGGTCTGTGAGGCAGATGGCACTCCAATTACCAGCCTGAAGAGACGCCTGGAACGCTGGGCAGAGCACTTCGGGAAGCAGTTCAGCTGGCCACCAGCTTCATTGTCTACTATCATTAGCCCGAGTGCTCCTTGGTCGGTTAGTACCGACCCACCCACCGAAGCGGAGGTCCGTAAGGAACTCCAAGTTCTGAAACGCCATAAGGCGCCCGGCCCAGACAAATTACCCCCGGCTCTTTTTAAAGATGGTGGCGAGACTCTCATAATGGCTCTAACTGGGTTGTTCAGGAGGGTGTGGGAGACAGAGAGCGTACCATCAATGTGGAACGAAGCCATTATCGTCCCCATCTTTAAAATACATCACACTGTTCTTCAGATAATCGACGTCTTGTATTAACACTATCGAAATTTATAAATGGGACTAGCTGTTTTAAATACTGAGTATGGTAACTGTATTGATTATTCCCATGTGACATGTGGCAATAACAAACTGCATGTTTACAAGGTGTGTGCGTATCTGTAATCTAATCCTATTGGTTATTCCCAATCATGTGACTATGACTAAATGTTAGTCCATTACTCTGTGAGTATCTAAGTTTGTTTGAGAATTTTAAAAAAAAACCGAGTTCATTCTGTTTAATTTAATTTCAACTTTCCCGTTGATTGAAAATTGAACCGCGAAGTGTTCGACCTCTGTTTACATGTCAGTTCCTTGTGCGGATACTTCGATAATGTCTGAGGATTTAACTCGAAGTAATTTAATGGATGGTGACTAGCAGTAGTTGAATCCAGGACATGCGCATTTCGTGTTCTACCTTAGACTCGTCAGATAGTGCATGTACCTACATTCCCCAATGAGGCTTTAATCCAATAGCTATCCTTTCAAACGCTAAAGCGCTATCCAGTAGACCACTTGGGTCACGATAGCGACATCTTGTGCAACGGGCATCAGTTATGATTATTACACCACCACTCACTGGGGACTGTAGATATACATCCAGATGACGAGTCCCAAATAGGACGAAATATGCATCATAGATTCCACCACTGCTGTCAGTCGCCTGGACCTGAATCACTCGAAACCGTTTGATTTCTAGCTAACTACTTGCTCGAACTGGTCATGTTCATGCCAACACTCGAACTGTGTAAGTTTCAAATTGCTAACCAATTAGCAAATTATAAATTTTATTTATGGTGTGACCAGTTCGAACAAGTGGCTGACCAGAAGTCGAGTTGTTTTTACTGGCTTGGCTCTCTGAGCTGAGTTGTCAAACTGGGTGGTACATTGTTGATGAGCTCGGCTGCAAACGGGTGAAACGGCTGTCCACTGGTGTTTAGATCACCTCGATGTGGCTAAGTGGGCAGCACTACTGCTTGATATGAATGGCATGCAACTACTCATTCCAGGAAATCAGTAGTACATAGCATAGTTCTATACAGTCCATCCACCTTTTTATACTGTTCATATGTGACTACATAGAATGATACTATATATTTTCAATGGTTGGTTTTTAAGGATTAGATTTGATTTTACGAGTTGACCACGGATTGATATAAGTTAGAGAACCATTTAAAAACCAACCAGGGAGTACTGGACAGCTGTATCGTCAGACTAGTTTGGGAATTATCGGTAGTATGCACCCACCTCCAGGGTTCGAACCTCGGACCTTCCATTCAGCCATTGGGACCCGATCCACTGGACAGCTCATGGATTCTAACTTCTACCAATTCGTGATTTAGAGCGACTGGCACCATCCAATGTCATTGACGGGACATCCATCCTCGCACTAAATCACGAACTGGTAGAAGTTAGAATTTATGGACTTGCCATTGAGTCGGGTCCCAGTGGTTGAATGGTATAATAGCTTGTCTTGTAACTGGAATGTCCAGGGTTCGAACCCCGTACTGTGGGTGCGTACTACCGATGATTCGCAAACTAGTCTGACGATACAGCTGTCCTGTACTCCCTGGTGGTGATTTTCAATGGTTCTCTCTGACTGATATCAATCCGTGGTCAAACTCGTAAAAACAAATCTAATCCTAACAAACCAACCATTGAAAATTAATCTGATGCTCGTTAGTGATTTGCTACAGGACGGAGTTTCCTGGAGTTCTGGTGAGAAGTCGCGACCAGTGAGGTGTATATCCAGTCAAGTTTGAGGATGGATGTCCCACCGATGACATTGGTTGATGCCAGTCGCGCTAAATCACGAATCGGGTCCCAGTGGCTGAATGGTTTATTATATATTGTCAAATCTTTTATGTTTGTCCCTAGTGTAAGTGAATGTATGAAACTATATTATAATGACAATAATAATATTCAATGTTCAACATTTTGTTCTTCAACTTTTAGGTCAAATATTCCAATGTGACCACTGTGAAAAATCTTTTTCATTTAAATATATTTTATTAAGACATGTGAGGTCTTGTCATGAAGGTAAATTGTTTCACTTTACACCTTCCCCTCATTTTATTTTTAATAGGCTTTTTTGTTCGCCTAGTAATATATATATATATATAATATATGTATTAGCATGCTAACATTTCTTCCCTCTCTCTCTTTATCTAATCTATTGATAATAATGTTGATATCAGTCACATTTTTATTAGATATTGAACACTTTTCAATTGTGGGTGTAGAGGGATTTGAGTGAGTTCCAGTTTGATCACGAACAGATTAGTTAGAGAGTCAGACAGAAACCGGCGAATGATGGACAGCTGTTTCGTCCTACTGTGGGACTCTTCAACAGTACTTACTTAGAACCCATAACTTTCGGTTAACAATGCCAGCTCGTTAACCAGTCAGTCACTGAGACAAAATCCATTGGGCAACCCATGAGTTTTAACTTCTACCTATTTGGGCTATTTATGTAACACCACAAACAACCTATGCCATCAGGGTGAACCCACCTATCTTCATACTCAAATTACTGGACCCCACTGGTCACGAATTCTCAGTAGAATTTCAGCCAATTTCATCATTCTGTATCCAGTCACTAGTCAGCACTACATTAACTTACAAGTGTTGATTTTTTGGCAGCGGTTTAATTGATTTCAATATTGACCACCAACTGACTGATTTCCGTTGGAGAATTATTGGAAACCGGGAAGTATTGAGTGGCTGTTTCGTCCTAGTTTGGGATTTTGCTTATTTTGTTCACTGAATGTACCCCCAGTGCGTCTGTGGTATAGCGGTTAGGACGCTCGCCGACCATGCACATGGTCCGGGATTCGATCCCCGGCCGACGCACTGTTTTACATCGCTGAGCCAGAAATAATGCTGATAAAGAGGAAAGGTTGGGCATGAGGCTAGCAACCCCATCCTGTAAAATAAACACTGCTACAGAAACTTCAAGCCACTAGCTTGAAGCCCTATGTTCCACTGGGGAACGTGAAGAAAAAAAATGTACCCCCAGCAGCTCTAGTTGTTGGCTGTTTAACCAGATGATTTTGGGGTTGAAGTCGCACTCTACCTTCTTCAGTCTTAAGTGGTTCCTAACTTGTATCATTAGTCTTCGTATTGAAAAGCATATTCCAAATAACTGATTTATGATATGCTGTAGTTGAATTTCAGAAAGAGTGACGGAAGAATAATTAAATACATATTTATTGGGATCAGTCGGAAATCTCTTTTCTGCTACTACCTGCTTGAGACTGTCAAGATGCTTGAGGTTAGCAGACTGCGACTGATTTACGATGACAAAAGAAACGTATTCCTCGAATTGCTGGCGTTCATCAGTTGACAGTTCAAACAGAACGTGACTTCTTAGAGATATATTCCTGTTTAGTTCTACAACGCGAGAGCTGATTGCATCAATACGATTAAGTGTATGGCGCTTTAATGTTTTGGAATTTGGACATATACGGTTACGCCTAAGCGCTTTCCAGAATACATTAGGATATTCACTTTTACAGATACAGCTTCCAAAAAAGCGCTTAGGCGTAACCGTATATGTCCAAATTCCAAAACATTAAAGCGCCATACACTTAATCGTATTGATGCAATCAGCTCTCGCGTTGTAGAACTAAACAGGAATATATCTCTAAGAAGTCACGTTCTGTTTGAACTGTCAACTGATGAACGCCAGCAATTCGAGGAATACGTTTCTTTTGTCATCGTAAATCAGTCGCAGTCTGCTAACCTCAAGCATCTTGACAGTCTCAAGCAGGTAGTAGCAGAAAAGAGATTTCCGACTGATCCCAATAAATATGTATTTAATTATTCTTCCGTCACTCTTTCTGAAATTCAACTACAAGCCCTATCACTGGGTCCCAAATTTTGTAACAGTTCGTCTAAAATCAACAGATTGCATACTCAAGTGCAATTTGAAAATCTTATTAATCAGACCAACGATCTCACACCCACATCACCTGAGGAATCCCAACACTTTAAATCTACAGTTCTTGATTGCTGTCATCAGTTTACTAGTTCAAAACCTAGCTCGAATAATCTTCTAACTAAAGAGCATATAGATCAACTTAAAGAACTAGAGAAGAATGATGATATTATTATATGCCGTCCAGACAAAGGTGGGGGAGTTGTAGTTATGAATCGCCAAGATTATAATGATAAAATCTCAGCGATCCTTCTCGACCAAATGAAATGCGCCAAACCCGATGGTGAAAAGAATAAAACACATCTAATTGAAAATCAACTGACTGATGTCTTAAAGAACATGAGGAATAAGTCAGTAATCTCGTCGGAAATATATGAACGCATCCGACCAGTAGGCTCCATGATACCACGTTTGTATGGACTACCTAAAATTCATAAGACAGGATTAACCCTCCGTCCTATCCTTACCACGGAATCGCTCAATGGCTAGCTGAAATACTGGAACCAGTCAGAAGGCAAGTATCTAAGTTTTCCATTGATGATACGTTTAAATTTATTGATTGCATTAAAGATTTCGATGTCTCAGACAAAATCCTGTTCTCATTAGATGTGACATCGCTTTTTACCAATGTTCCTCTCACGGAAACTGTTTGCTACTTATGTGATTATATTGATACACATAGTTTAGAAATAGGACTGCCGACTATCTACCTCAAAGAGCTTTTATTGAGATGCACATTGAATGTTCAGTTCACCTTCAATAATGAGATCTTCAGACAGAGAGACGGCATTGCCATGGGATCACCACTGGGTCCCTTATTTGCTGATTGTTTTATGGCAAAGCTTGAAAATTCTCTACTTAGTCAAACCATCGGTCATTTTGACAATTATAAAAGATACGTAGACGACACTTTCGTTATCTGCGATAAAAATGTAATTCTTGATGATGTCTTGTTTGCTTTCAACAACTGCCATCCTTCTTTACAATTCACCGTAGAAAAGGAGTCCGAACTAGGTATTCCCTTTCTTGATGTGTGTCTTAGCAGACGTAATGACGGATCTCTCAAAAGATCTATCCACCGGAAACGTACTTGGAACGGACAACTAATTTTTACAGTTGGGTGCCTATTTCCAGGAAAAGGAACTTAATTCATTCGCTCTGCTCTAGGATAAGGAAAATTTGTAGTTCCGATTCCGTTGACTCGAAACTTGACTTCTTAAAAGCCACCCTCGCAGAAAACGGTTACCCTAACCGATTTATTGACAGCAACATGAAAGATAAGCAGTCTAAACTGGTCACCGAAACAGTTCCAAAGAAAACCTTATCCATGAACTTGGAATTCAAAGGTGATCAAGCTTCAGATATGCTCAAAAATCGTCTCTCTAAATCAGTCAGTAAGACGTTCTATGCAGCAAAATTACATATGACGTTCACTAGCCGCAAGTTGTTCTCTACCTCTGTAAAAGATAAGCTCCCCCATCTGGCCGCCTCCATGTGCATCTATCAGTTCACCTGCTCTTGTGGAGCAAGGTACATTGGCCGTATTCAGAGGACGCTTTCCACACGGATACGAGAACATATTCCAGCATGGTTTTATAAGGGAGAAAGGAAGTGTGTGCGAAGCTCTATTTTGGAACACCTGATCGACTTCTGTCACTCTGTCAACCCTGACCATGATTTTAAGATCATATATAGAATCCATGCTAACTCCCCGCGTTTTCTTCGTTACAGACTTCTAAAGACAGCTGAGGCCTTGGCAATTCATGACTTTAAGCCAAACCTTTGTGTACAAAAGAAGTATGTACAATCCCTACTTCTGCCTTGGCCGTAGAGGGATAGACATTCATTTATTTTGTTTATTTAGTTATTCTATGTACTTTTCCCTTATTACTACGATTATTATTATTACTATTCTCACTCTGAATCTTTTCCACTTGACCCACTTGACATTTTGAACCCAAAATTTTTAATTTTTATATTTTATTTTTACAATATTGAATTCTATCTTATCAGATTTCATACCATGTTATGCAACATTTTATAATCGCCTACTAATCCTATAATTATGTACCCGTTTCCAAAATGCTATACACCCTGTGTTTTATTCTATTTTCTTCTTATTCCTTCACGTTCCCCAGTAGAACATAGGGCTTCAAGCTAGAGGCTTGAAGTTTCTGTAGCAGTGTTTATTTTACAGGATGGGATTGCTAGCCTCATGCCCAACCTTTCCTCTTTATCAGCTTTTAGTTCTGGCTTAGGGAGGTAAAGGAGTGCGCCGGCCGGGGATCGAATCCCGGACCATGTGCATGGTTGGCGAGCGTCCTAACCGCTATGCCACCGACGCAACATGTATTATTCTATATACGACATTAATTATTTTGCCACTTGACATTAAACTATGATTTTAATCACAAATATTTTAATTGCATTTCATACTATTATTATTTCATGTATTCATACCTTTGACCTAATTCCCTCACCGGATAATTTTTATAAAAGAAACCCATATATGTGATTGTACAGCTTGATAATAAATTCGTTGAAAAGGGTCTCTTCGGTGAATATTGTGTTCTTAATAGTACAATGGGAATTATTTAATTATTGAAAAACTTGACTTTTGTTTAATTTTAATTTTATTTGAGCTCTACTCAACCGTGTTAATTAGTCTACTTCACTCACCTTGCATATTTGATCTTAATTTAGTTTCTAACCCATCAACGAAATTTATTAACTAAAATTTACAATTCTAATAATTTTATTTTAATATAGAAAAATCCCCATTTAGACATTTAGAAAATAGAAAGATTGAGCGAAGAAATATTTACTTTTCAAGTAGATCCTCATCTCCGGCTTCACTATCATATATATGTACCCATAGCATTTTTATTACAATACACAACAATTTACCAATCAAGTGGCAATTTGTTTGTTAACAATAATTAGTCAGTGTCAACATGTCAATGCGACGGGTGATAATTAACGAATAAAATTAATTACACACAATTAAAAGGTAGAAATGGTTGCATAATGCATAATTTTGGAAAAATGAAGAGTAATTAAGGAATAAGCTTGTGCACAGGCTGATTACGTAACAGATCATTAAAGAAAAGAAAACGATTTTGACAATGATAACTTGTAACTAAGGTTGAGGTAGTCAGAAAAAATAAAATAATTTTACAAAGAAAACATGTAATTAAAGATGAAGTAGTCAAAAAACAATAAAATAATTTGGACAATTATAGTTTTTTATAATTTTTAAATGTTTAGGGGGAGGGATACGAAATACTCCGGTTTATACATTCATGTAACGATGGCCAAGGTAAGGCAAGTGGCTGTACAAATTTCTTCTGAACACACACAGGTTTGGCTTCTTCTTCAGGTGGATTCCTATTGCTTCATCTGTAGGTATATAGAAGACGAACACGTAAAGCAAAATTAATCTTAGTAGGAATGCGATAAATAATTTTAAATGCAGTATTAACATCAACCTTGTGCTCACTCACTGTCTACAAGGTGTGCTAAAATAGAGCTGCGAAGAGATCTTGTTTGTCTCTTTTTATTTTAGCTTCTACCCGATTAACGCTTTCCACGTTACGTAATTTGTTATCTAAAACCTCTTCGTTGGACGCCTTTTCTGTTTATATGACTCAATGATACTTTTTAATTTTTTTTTAGATTCATTAGCTAATGACAGTTCCTTGAGAGGTCACTACTGAATGCGATTGAATGATCGAAATCCTAACACCTAAATAAGTGACATAATAATATAACGTAATTTGTTCCACTCCTTTTCATTCCGAGTGAATTATTGAGCCGCAACATTTGGACTTTCAATCATAGCGGTATTATTATTTGACGGGGTGAAGTCCCTAGCCTCATGCCTCCAGCCTTCCCTGTTTTTTTTTCTGGCTTTCTATTAGTTAATGAACTTGGTGAGGTTTAGAGATGTGTCAGCTGAGCGAATCGCACTCGGACCACCTGTTTTGTGTATTGTTTGGTTGCTGCGTGATTATTAACCCCTTGCTCTGATGTGGTGTATTTTGTTTGCCTGTGTGGGTGTGCGTGTGTGCGTTTTTCTGTTGGCTCCATTGAGTTGTCTGTGTTTGTGTGAATTTCGCGTTAGTTCTCATTATTAGTTAGTTTGTGAGTTAGTCAGTTAGTTATTTAAATCTTATTCCGGTTTATTTATTTGTTTGTTTATGTGGTCGGTCGGTCGGTTTTCGACATAGAACTTTGCACATATGTGCGGCAGTTCAAGTCGCCACACTCCATGTAGAACACAAAGCAAGAGAAGAAATTAGGAGAAATGCGTAACATAGACAGTAAACAGAGGTGTGAGACAAAGGAATAGTAATAACGAAAAACAAGACAGTTTCATTGGAAATCATAAGTCACAAGGAGTGGAGGCATCTGCACCAGCCATTGAGAACGATTTTGAGCCATGTCACCAATTGTTGGAAACAATTGGTTTTTACCGTCCCGAGGATGCCAACCAGGGAGTCTACACCTTCCTACGTGGCTTAGACTAACTGTTGTGGATTTCATTGACTGGTGCCATGTTTTGGTTTGACCGCTGCTAGCTCTTTTCCAGTCTGACCTTATTTCAGCTAACATTGCCCGTCAGTCGAGGAAGGCGATGACTAGGCATACCTACGTAACACATGTCCTAACCATCTCAGCCGATGTAATTTCACAGACCGAGTAAAGTGGTTGGTGGTTGATGCATCATGCTGGATGGATTAAGGAGGCAAGGCTGGTGGATTGGAGAGGGTGAGTGTTAGGTGAATAAGGTGTTGTTGTTGACTCGAATTGGGGCGTGTTGATCAGTGCCATCTGACTGAGTGCTTTCTCACTCATCTGTGACTGGTTGGGTTTCTGTGGAGAGGGAGAGAGATGAATAATGACTGAATAGATGGTGAGAGATACAGAGAGAGGTAGAGGTAGAGAAGAATATTTTGATGTGAATGATGCACACTTGATGGGCGCGGTTAGTGACGAAATTATCAAGCCTGCATGATGATGTTGACTAGTGATTTTCAGGGAGTGTGTTGTGTTTGTTGTATTGTCTCGTATTGTCTTGTGTCGATATAATATGAGAGAGAGAGGGCGTTTTGTGTTGGGTTGTGTTGTGTATTGATGGGTGTGATTGGCAGCATACTACCATTGAACCACTAAAAAAAACGCATAATTTAACCTAATAGTATGAGTTATAATAATTTAATAAATTATTAAGACAATTGAATCACAAGAAATAAGTCATACAGAACTACAGAGATTTGTTGTTTAACAACTAGTTTTAGACATTGAATTAATGTTTACAGATATACGACATTGGGTTTATAAACTAAACTTTTGATAAATTAACTAAGCCAAAGGAGAGATCTCATAGTTGTTTGGTAGTACTGACTGACATCGATTTATACTGAAAAGCTGTCAAATTTACGGAGAATCTCCTTTCTCTCTCTCCTGTCTAATCAGGTGACATTGTGACCTAGTGGATCTAGTGCCTGAGAGGATGTGGGCTGAATTCTGGTTTTTAGTGGGAAAGTCATCACTCACTGGGGATTCGGGTACATCTAGATGATGAGTCCCAAATGCGGCGAAACGCTGTCATCAGGGAAACCTGGAGATTTGACTCATTGGCTTAGGTACTCCAGTTATAGCCCATACGTTCAGTGTTTGAGTCCGACTCTAGCTAGAAGTATTAGTGTCCCTTACACAATAAGTGTGTGGCTCATAACCAGTCTTGCTACACGAAAGATCTCTTTCGGGATAGCTAAGTTAAAATAACCCTGATCAGTGAAACTTCACGATAAATAGATTTTTGCAAACTGTTTGTATGAATTAGATATTTGTTTCCTTACAGGTTCCAGAATATCTGCTAGCCATTTTGCAATAGAGTGGTAAGGGGAACCTGACATATCCAGAATTGGACGAAGTGGGAGACCAACCTTGTGTACCTTTGGTAGACCGTAAAGTCTTGGTATTATTGAACCTGTTGGCCGGATCCGGTCATAGATATCCTCACTGATTAGTTGACTGGCCTTCATTCTCTTCAAGACGTCTGTGAGCTGCTTCTCAATCTGTTCCGTTTTGTTTGTTTCATTGGAAGATTGGGGAAATTTATTTTCATTCGACAGTATATCGTTCATTTTCTCGATGTAATCTTTTCGATTCAGAAGCACTACACCGGTACCCTTGTCGGGGCGAGTTATTAGTAGAACTGTTTTAATTCTTCTCGGTGCCGCTTTGTTAGGTGGTTGCGGACTTTTGATTTTGTATTCAAGTATTGGTGGCAGCAGTTGATGATTGTTCACTTGAATCTCTGTCACTCGTCCTCAGAAGTTGGGATGAGGTCTTTCGTTTGGCTTATTCGATTTTCAAACTGGACCTGAGTATGAAGTTTGTCGGCGTTGAAACTGATATCGCAGAATTTTGGGCCCAGAGATAGGACTTCCAGTTGCACGTCGGTTAAAGGTACTGAGGAATAATTGAACACAAATTTTGTGGGCTCGTCAGGAAATTTGCCGTGAGGTTTCATCTGCTTAAGGCTGTTGTTGAGCTGGGTTACGACAGACTGCGACCGTTTATTTGCAACTAAGTTGATGTATTCGGTGAATCTTTGACATTCGTCAGGAGTCAATTCGTATAGGGCAGAGGATCTTTGATTAATATTCCGCTGCAGTTCGGGCACACGTGATTTGATAGAATCAGCACAATTCATTGCATGACGTTGAAGGGACTTCGTATTTCATGAATCTTCCTCTTCATCCAAACTTTCATTAGAAATAAAACACGTAGTTCAGCGAAGAAACTTTTTTGGCAGGCATGAAGTCAGCTGAAAGTGGCTGGAAGTGAACAGAGTCAAATAGAGATGTACTGCTGAACGCCTTTATTCTACTCGGATCTCAAGAACAATTAATAATAATTTTTTAGACTTCTTTGCGTTCCCACTGGAACATAGGGGGCTTCAAGCTTTAGCTTTCAAGTTTCAGTAGCAGTGTGGTGTTTTCTTTACGGGGTGGAGTTGCTAGCCTTATTCCCAAACTTCCCTCTTTGTCGGGATTGTAACTGGCTAACGGAGGTAAAGGTGTGCGCCGACAGGGACTCGAACCCCGGACCAAGTGCATCGTCGGCCAGCGCTCTATTGCTGAACCACTGACGTACAAATAACAATAATAATACCATGTAATTCATATCTCATCAGGTGGTTATCCTTTTACAAAAGGTTTGTTTATTTATAATACGGGTACTGATCTCTTTCTTGCCATTTTTCTTGTTGTCAAGGTGTCACTTATCCTTGTGAACAATGCGGAAAATCATTTTCACGGAAATGGAATTTAAAACAACACATTAATTCTGTTCACGAACGTAAGTTTACAGGGTTTCTTTTTTGAAATAGTAAAACTCTTATTTGATCCATGTTTCATCAACTCCGCAATGGATTATCTCTACCTTAGAAATATTTGTTTAGATTCTTGTTACTTGGAGGCAATCGGCAAGAAGCTTTACCTTACTTAGGTTTCGTGCTATTTGGCACTCACCAGTCAGCAAGGCATATCTGCAACTACCTCGAAGGAACTCATGTCCCTTTTAAGATTCGAACCCGCGTCACCCAGTGAGTGCTGCAGTCAAAGACGTTACCACTGAACTATTCGCGCTCGTGACTGACCTCCTGTAGGACTGTATTGGATACTCCTGATTGGACACTAACTGGCGTCAAGCGTTTAATCCTTGGTTTGGTCCAAACTGAATGCTATCAGTCTGGTAGTTGGATCACCATCATGGTGTATTCTGGATCGGCTCCAGTCGCCTTACTTAGGTTTCGTGATTTTTGGCACTCATCAGCAAGGTGTGTCTGAATTCTTGAAGGAACTCTTGTGCCTTCTGAGATTTGAACCGATGTAACCTAGTTCTTCAATCAGAGAAAGACATTGTTACCACTGAGCTAGTTGGGCTCGCGTGATTAACCTCTTTCATGGCTGTAATAGATACTTTCATTGGACACTAAGTAGTAGTAGACAATATCATGCATCCCTCTAACCATCTAATATCAGATTCGTGTTTGCAGTTTAGTAAGTTCTCACGCTTTACCGATAGTAGATAGATCAGCAGGACAAGCACGAGCCAACTGGCTACACTTGGAATTGTAACAAAATATCATGCCTATTATTTACTGATCTTCAAAGGCACTCAAAAATCCCGTGGAAGTACCTTCAGTTTTATAAATGTATTTCAGCATATTCAGAGTTACTAGCATGTTATCAGTTATTTTAATAAATATTGCCTATGTTATGTATCTTATGGCAAAAAATATGTGCTGGTTTTATTTCAATTCTTCGGTGTTCACCTTCAGTCAAGTACTGTCTGAACTTTGTCACACAGTTGTGAGACTTCTAATCGTTGCGTATCATGATTGTAGACGTGTTATCATTCGTAAGCTTGAATTACACACATACTTCTTCGAAGTAATCAGTTAGAGAGAAATATCATTGAAAAGATATTTAGTCGATATCTTAAAAGTGTTCTAAATTCCTCATTGATTGAATTTATTTGAGCGAAATATGTAGCTACTGTGAACTGATGTGTTAAGTGATTGAAGGCATTGGGAAGGAAGCTTTTTCTCATCTGGGTTTCGTGCTTGTCAGCATTCATCAGCAAGGTGCGACTCATATGCATCCTATGAGGTTTGAACCGGTGTTGTTGCAGTCAGAGACGTCACACCATCACTCACTGGAACTCAGGTGTATCTAACCGACGACGAGTTTTAAGTAGGACGAGGTCTGCGTAATTGACGACTTGGTGCGGACCAGGGTGGTAGACTTCTGTCTTCCTCTCGAAATGCTCTCATATGACCCACAGGCCTTCATAACCTTTAGCAAGTAATTCTTGTTCATTGCCTTCAGGCTCAAGGGGATGTTTCTCAGAAAGGGTAAAAGGATGAATGAGAACGTTTGGCGTCTACAACCGGGCTGGTGGACATGTTAGTCTACGTAGGGGAACGGGAGAACGCTGATTCCAAAACCTGTAGCGAAAAAAATCGAATGGCACATATGAACCTATTTTGGACACTGGAAACTGTGAAGACGTTAGGTCCTGATGCTGCTCCACTCACTACCTTGTGGATCGAACTTCAAGTCAAAGACTCGGTGGGGAAGGGTGGCTCCGAAGACAACCGTCTGCTTTCGTGTGAGCATCCGGAGAGTAGATATTCCTCCCTTTAGACAAACTATGAGATTTTGTGTGGCACTTCTTTTGGTGCCCATATCGTATCAAGTTCGTGTTATAATAATAACAGTAATAAATGCGATGGATTCCACTGCCTAGACGTCACCAACAAGCTAATGCCTGTGCTCTTTTTGGAAACATATCTTGATACAAGCAACAAAAGTTCATAAAGCAAGATATAATGATGTCATCGAAGATTTCGGTAGAACTACTTTTCAGTCGGATACTCTACATACAGCCTCGTTTGGCATACGTCAACTTACGTGATCCAGCTGTCGACCAAAGGATGCGTGTACTGCTCAGCAGTTCGCTCCGTCCGCCTTTATGGCTGTGAGTGAGACATGCACACTGAAAGCGGAACACATGAAAAGGCTAGTCTTTTTGTATAACCTATGTGTTTCTGCTTGCACCTACACACAAAATGGTTATACGCAGTTTGAAGTGTCGAAGATTGGCGACTGGTCTTTCCTAGATTGTTAACTGAACTAAAACTTATAGGGAATTGCAAGAAGTGATTCAGCGAGGAGTCTCTTTTCAACGAATTTACATCTGAGGATTTCATCGTGAACTGACATTGGTTAGAGAACAATTAGAAAACCTGAGGGTACTGAACCGCTGTTTCGTCCTAGGGTTTTTTCTGACTCTTCATCAGTACTCACCCATCAAATCCCTGCAAACCAACATTTGAATTTATGCTTTTAATAATTGAAAACAATTAGTTCCCTTTACGAATTCAGACAAAGCAATAAGAAGTGGTAGTGTTTCTGAATCGTGTAATTCATTGGTGATGTGGTGAGAGCTGTCTACTAGCCAAATTGGTAGACAGTAATTTACGTCAATATTTACGTTCCCAAGATTTGACGTGAGAAACAACCAATCGGAAGACTGTGTTTGTTTGTTTACGTATCCATAGTAATGTACATGAAAACATATATAAATATGCGTTGATTTCCCTAATAAATGATCTGTTGCCTGACTCTTGCCTTCTGTCGTTACAGTGGGACACAATCTGATCCATCACACACAGGGACTTGTCATAGGAATAAAGATGGTTTGAAATAAGAAGGAGTTAAGGTGTGAGAAAACAGACTTAGGTCAAGTTAAAAGGACATATTGAAGGTGAAAATAACAATGGAGATCACTAAACCAATGAATGGAGGTAATAGTGTAACAACAGAAGACAAGGGCCATGCAACAGATCATTTATTAAGGAAATCAACGCATATTAATATATTTTCATGTACATTATTATAAGATTTGATAGTGTGGAAAATTCCCATATTATGAATTAAAAGTCAATCTGAACGAAGAATATTCTTTTCAATAATTTCTCTTCAGGTTCTTACAATTATAAAATATAATATTTGTTGTCGTTACAATAATGACAGCCAGTTATGCGGCAGATACATTCTTAACGTAGAATAACAGATTAGTTATCGGGTGTCAAAATAAATAGTCGTATTTGTGTGACAAACGTGCTAGGCTGAATTCGATTACACTGATATTCCCATTAGTAATCTGAAACAACTACTTGCTAAATGTACAGCAAATGTTCAGTTCTTGTTTAATAATGAAATATACAGACAGATTGATGGAGTAGCCATGGGATCCCCACTGAGACCTATTTTCGCGAATATATTTCTAGCAAAACTAGAAAATAGTCCGTTGAAAGAGGAAATAGCAAATATGGAAATGTATTGTCGTTACATGGATGACACTTTTGTAGTGTACAATGAAGGGTTAAGTAGTGATTTGATTCTGAGCAACTTCAATAATGCTCACCCAGCGGTCCATTTCACCTACGAAGGAGAATGCAACGACTCTCTACACTTCCTCGACGTCCTACTAACGAGAAGAGAGGATGGTTCCGTCAAAAGAACCATATTTAGAAAGCTAGAGACCAAAGCTCAGTATACACACTTCCTTAGCTTTGTACCGATGAAATACAAACGTAATCTGATTAGATGCTTAGCATTTAGAGCAAGGTCAATTTGTTCCGAAGACTGTGTAGAGAAAGAACTCCAGGTCATCCGAGACATTTTAAGCGAGAACGGATATCCAGAGAAGTTCATTAAAGCAAACATAGGTTACAATAGCCGTAAACATGAACTGGCAACGGTGGAGAAAAAGCCTCTGTTTTTACGTCTCCAATTCAAGGGAGATACTCCTGCGGAGATTCTATCGCAACGTTTAACCAGGGCGATCAAGAAAACTTTCTACTCTGCACGTCTGTGTCTATCCTTCAGTAGCCGTCCAATGTTCACCCAGCAACTCAAAGATGTCTTACCTAATCTGAGCTCTTCTTCATGCATATACCATTTCAACTGTTCCTGTGGTTCAAGTTATATAGGGCGCACGATTAGGCAGGTTCGTCTATGGGTTCGAGAACATTTACCAGCTTGGTTCAGCAGGGGGGAAATTAAGTGCATAAAAAGCTCGATCCTGTCACACTTGGTCGATACTGGACATCATATCGATGTCAACACAGCTTTCAGGGTTATATACCGAATTCCGAAGTCGTTATCACGTACAGTTCGCTTACGTCTTCTACACATAGCTGAAGCTGTTGCAATAAGATCGACTAAACCGGAACTTTGTATCCAAAAAGAACACGTCCAGACGCTGTTCCTACCGTGGCCAAACTTGGATTGATGATTCTTCTTCTCACCAAGAGTGCTCCTTCCCCTTAACCCTCTTGGCTTTGTTTTTCTTTCCTTTGCTTATTATTACTATTATTATTATTATTGTTATTATTATTATTCGTCATAATTTATGCCCTTCATGCAAACATTCTCTCAATACTATCGAATTTTTTTCGTTTATACTACCCGGACTTATTATTAGTGATATTATCTCTTTTCTCAATATATGCCTCCTCCTGTTTCATTTCACATATTCGTTATTTCATTATGAACCTCTCTCATTGCAGTCTCACTATCTATCTCCTGTTTAACACAGAGCACTTTGTACTAGCCACTCGCCCCTGACACTTTTTATAACGTTGAACTGACTTATCAATTTTCCTACCCCACACTCTACAAATCTATTATGACTAATCACCACCATTGTCTCCCATTTTACCGAAATATTTTGTAATCGAATTCAGCCTAGCACGTTTGTCACACAAATACGACTATTTATTTTGACACCCGATAACTAATCTGTTATTCTACGTTAAAAATGTATCTGCCGCATAACTGGCTGTCATTATTGTAACGACAACAAATATTATATTTTATAATTGTAAGAACCTGAAGAGAAATTACATTATTATAGTTCAGTTAAGTAAACAAACACAGTCTTCTGATTGATTGTTCCTCACTTAAAGTTAATCTTTCATCTCTTTGTGACTGTTTCTTGAATGTCACATCATCTTTATGTTAACTGCATCCGCCTACGCAAAGTCTGCTGTGGTCGGTTTTGAATCAATCTTTGTTCATATTTTCTCACGGCAAATCTTGAGAACGTAAACTTTGACGTAAATTACTGTCTACCAATTTGGCAAGTAGACAGCTCTCACCACAATAGTACATCTACCCTGGCTAGTATGAAAACAAACTTTACCAAGGATGGTAGGTTTAGTGTGATGACGAATTGTTGCTTTGATCGCATAAAGGTGGTTTAAACTTTCTAATTGCCAGCTAAAGCTTACACGAACTTTAGGATACGCCCTTTCTAAAACACGTTTTATAGATAGGTTTAAAAGAAGTTTGGAGACATCAATTTTATGTCCTGTCTATGTAATGTGTTTCTAAATAATAGCGGAACTAGGTCGCCTGTTCTCAGCATTAATAATGGGTTCTAGAGATTCAATTTACTCCTGAAGCCATTTAGGAATATGTTCTGATGCCCTTTCATGCAGAGATTGATAAATCAAAATACACAAAGGTGACCAGTAAGATAATACTGGAAATTGTTCAAGGTGAAATCAATAACAACAATCGATAAATACTTAAAGGAGGGATATACAAATTGAATAAATAAATAAATAAACTGAATGAATAGGTCGAAAGCATGAATGGGAAATAGAATACCTTAGCGTGGACGAATGTAGATCGTGAAAGAAGGAAGTCTTCGTTTTCTATTTCGAGATGACTAAAGCATCAGTGATACAAATTTGGGTAGGTTATTTTTCAACTTACTGATAACTTTAGAGAAAGCGGCTGTACAGGTTGATAATAAATTTGTTGAAAACAGGACTCTCTGCAAAATCAATTGTCCCAATTTGCTATATGTCATAATGGGAGTTTTCCATAAAATAAAACTCTGAGTTTCCAGGTTTCGCAAGTCTTTTGTTGAAGGATAATTCTGTGTTCTGATTTCTAAATATTCATATGTGGTGAGAGCTGTCTACTAGCCAAATTGGTAGACAGTAACTTACGTCAATGTTTACGTTCCCAAGATTTGTCGTGAGAAAATGTGAACAAAGATTGATTCAAAACCGACCACAGCAGACTTTGCGTAGGCGGATGCAGTTAACATATAGAGGATTTGACATTCAAGAAACAGTCACAAAGAGATGAAAGATTAACTTTAAGTGAGAAACAACCAATCGGAAGATTGTGTTTGTTTGTTTACGTATCCATAGCAATCTACATGAAAATATATAAATATGCGTTGATTTCCTTAATAAATGATCTGTTGCCTGACTCTTGCCTTCTGTCGTTACACATATAGCAGTCACCTATCTAATTCATTCATAAAACAATGAGTCATACTTTAATTGGTGGATGATGACTAGGCGTGGAATCCAGAATGCGCATTTCGTCCTATTTGGGACTCGTCCACTGGATGTGCGTGCATTCCCCAGTGAGTGATACTGATCCCACCGAGGCTCGAACCCAGTGCCCACAGTTTCAAACGCCAAAGTGTCATCCACTAGATCACTTGGGCCACGAGAACCGCCTTTTGTGCAATGGGTCATATTAATTATTTAATTGAATTTTAGATTTTCCCCGTCGATTGATTGGACCGAATTGCTTGCTCTCAGGTTGACATGTCGGCTATCGGCACTGGGTTTGACCCTCGGCTGGAACATCATCACTCACTGTGGAATGCACACACATCCAGATGACGAGTCCCAAATAGGACGAAGTGCGCATCCTGGATTCCACTGCTAGTCACCATCCATTAATTAAATTCTAATTACTTGCCGAGACATCGTCGAAGCATCTGCATAAGAAGCCGACATGTCGACCTGAGATCGAGCGCTTCGGTCCAATCAATCGACGGGAAAATCTAAAATTCAATTAATTGCGTCATACTGTTTCGTTTATTGACGTTCTAAATCTATAGATAGTAACATATGATGCATTAATAGGCAGTATTATTAGAAGACATGCGGTTCGGGTTTCGTCCCCAGCCGACGCACTCGTTTACTACTCCAAACCAGTAATAAGACTGGTAAATAGGGAAGGTTTGGCATGAGGCTAGCAACCCCATCCCGTAGAAATAAACACCACAGCTATCGAAACCTCAAGCCTCTAGCTTGAAGCTCTATGTTTCACTCGCAGCGCAAAGGAATGAGAAAATTAAGACAGTTAGAAGATGGAGATTATCTGAAAAAACAGTATGATGTATTTGCGCAATACCATTTCGAACTACAATCTGATCCGTCACACATTTACTTGTCAAGTCAATTTATATGGTGAAAAAACATAACATTAAAAGGCAATTATAGTACACAAAGTGTCAAAAAAGGATTCAAGAATAATAAGAATAATTAACATAATGTTTGGTAATCCAAACTCTCGACCACTTTTATAGATGACCTTAAAAGCTGTGTTCACATCAATCTTATGATTCATGTCGATTAGTTGGTTTGGCTATAGACAAAGTTGGCAGTTTGCCACCTACGTCTATTGACTTTCAAAAGGTCATCTATCTTTCTAACCATTTCGTAATATGCTCGCTCTCCCACCCTCATATGCAAAGCGCGACTACTCCTTCCTATGTATGTGTGTCCACACATCCACACACACACGTAAATTGGTGAATAGGGTGGGATGTGACATAATCAGTTGTGCACTTTTGAGGTTTGTAGTGGAGCATATTTTTTTTGCCTTTTTCAATGATTACAAGCCTGGGCTACTGTACAGACAACGCCCATTTCACGTTTGAAGGTAAGCATTTTCAACACGAATTGGTGGAAGTTAGAATTCATGGGACGGCCAGTGAATCGGGTCCCAGTGGCTCAATGGTATAATAGCTTGTCTTGTAACTCGAAGGTCGAGGGTTCGAACCCCACAGTTTGGGTGCGTACTGCCGATGATTCCCAAACTAGTCTGACGATACAGCTGTCCAGGACTCCCTGGTGGTGATTTTCAATGGTTCTCTCTGACTGATATCAATCCGTGGTCAAACTCGTAAAAACAAAACTAACTCTTACAAACCAACCATTGAGAATTAATCTGATGCTCGCTAGTGACTTGCCACAGGACGGAGTTTCCTGGAGTTCTGGTGAGATGTCGTAACCAGTGAGGTGTAGTATCCAGTCAAGTGTGAGGATGGATGTCCCACCGATGACATTGGTTGGTGCCAGTCGCTCTAAATCACGAATTGGGTCCCAGTGGCTGAATGATTTATTATATATTGTCCATAATCTTTTATGTTTTTCCCTATTGTGAGTGAATGTATGAAATTATGTTATAATGACAATTGTAATATTCAATGTTCAACATTTTATTGTTATGTGTGTTTTGTTTAACTTTTAGGTCAAATATTCCAATGTGACAACTGTGAAAAATCTTTTTCATCTAAAAATATTTTATTAAGACATGTGAGGTCTTCTCATGAAGGTAAATTGTTTCACTTTACCCCTTCCCTTCGTTTTATTTTTAATAGGGTTTTTCGTTCCCCCCAGTAATATATATATGTGTTAGCATGCTAACATTTCTTCCCTCTCTCTCTTTATCTAATCTATTGATAATAATGTTGATATCAGTCACATTTTTATTAGATATTGAACACTTTTCAATTAAGGGTGTAGAGGGATTTGAGTGAGTTCCAGTTTGATCACGAACAGATTAGTTAGAGAGTCAGACAGAAACCTGGGAATAATGGATAACTGTTTCGTCCTACTGTGGGACTCTTCAACAGTACTTACTTAGAACCCATAACTTTCGGTTAACAATGCCAGCTCGTTAACCAGTCAGTCACTGAGACAAAATCCATTGGGCAACCGATGAGTTTTAACTTCTACCTATTTGGGCTATTTGTGTAACACTACAAACAGTCTGTGTCATCAGGGTGAACCCACCTATCTTCATACTCAAATTACTGGACCCCACTGGTCACGAATTCTCAGTAGAATTTCAGTCAACTTCATCGTTCTGTAGTCAGTCACTAGTTAGCACCTGATTAACTTTCAAGTATTGATTTTTTGGCAACGGTGTGTTATTGTTTTCAATTTCGACTACAAACTGACTGACTTCCGTTAGAGAACTATTGGAAACCGGGAAGTATTGAGTGGCTGTTTCTTCCTAGTTTGGGATTTTGATTATTTCGTTCACTAAATGTACCCTCAGCAGCTCTAGCTGTTGGCTGTTTAACCAGCTGATTTTGGAGTTGAAGTGGCACTCTACCTTCTTCAATCTGAATGACTCCTAACTTGTATCATCTGTCTTCGTATTGAAAAGCATATTCCAAGTAGCTGATTCATGATATACTGTAGAACCATAGAAGTGACTATGAGTCAGCAAGTTATGCAGAAGAAATATATTCCCGTCAGGATATGTAGAAAATTAAAGCAAATGATTCAGCGAAGAGACTTTTTTCAAAACTTTGACTGACTCACTGACTGGTTTCAACGTAGAACTTAGCACAAATGTGCAGCAGTTCGAGTTGCCATACTCCTTCCATGTAGCACACAAAGAAACAGGAGAGAGTAAAAAGGGATTCAAAACAGAGATGATAAACAGAGGTATGAAGCAAAAAGAATAGTAATATGGAAGAACAACAGTATTTTTTTATTGGATGTTATAAATGACAAAGAGAGGATGCATCTGCACCAGCTGTTGAGAATGATGGGTTTGGGCCATATCACCAATTGTTTCCAGCCTTCATTGGTTCTTATCATCCCGAGGACCCCAACCAGTCAGTTAGGAAGTCTACACCTCCCTACGTGGCTGGCTTAAACTAACTGTTGTGAATTTATTTGACTGCTGCCATGTCCATCGAGTAGATTGCCTTGATCAGTGCAAGGTGTTTTCTCGGCATTCCTTTCACAGCTTAACATTGCCATAGTATCTCATGGTCGACGGAAGGCTATGACTAAACATAAGTAACACATGCCCTAACCATCTCAATCGATGTAACTTCGCAGCCTCGTCTATTGATTTCTCCTTCTTACCTCCTAGCACTCGACCGATGCCTATCCTCAATAGTACTCACCACCACCTGACACATGAGATACAACGTAAACACCTATGATCAAAGACAGCTAACCGGCCTTGAAAGAACTCATCTCAGAAGGGAAATGAGTTCCTTTGCAGATACGCCTCACTGACTGGTGAGTGCCAACTAGTACGAAACCTAGGTCGGATTACGCTTCCTTCCGATTGGCTTCCAACTATCTAATACCAACAAAGACAAGATTGCAAGTGAACCTAACCAACATCAACAACAGTAAAAACAAGCGTCAATCACTATCGACTGGCGAAACTTGAAGGAAATCACTTCTTCTTTTAGCCATCTAAGCAGCACTGTTTCAACTGCAAACGTCGGCACAGATAAAGATGTGAAAGCCAGAGTTGGATAGCCAAGACATACATTCATTAATCTGGAAATCTGTTGCACTGGGTATAAAGAACAAGCTTCGGATTGTCAACACTCATATTAAGTCACTTAGGGATTATATTATGTTGATGTGGCTGTGTTCTCTGAGCAGCTAGATAGTTTATTTGCGAAGCTTTCATCGCCCTACTAGGCAACATCTTCAGCGCATACTTCAATTTGATGAAGTGAGCTTTTAGATTTCTCCACGAGCTCACTATTAGTCAACTCTCCTGGTGACCTTGGACGTTTTGTTGTTGGTTGTTTTTGTGTGTTTCCACACCCTCTAGGTGGCTACTTGTATTGGAACTGAATATTTCCATGACTTGAATTTTGACTCTTTGTGTATGAGGTTTCTTTCTTATTGGTTGATAAGTTTTGTCAATCTCGATGTGTCTATTGATTGATGATTCACTGGAATGCCAAGCTTCGCAAATTAACTATCCAGCTCAGAGAACACAACCACATCAAATCACCCACCTGAGCTACAAATCTCCTCCATCGATTGTATTATGGTTCAGAGATTTGCTGTACCTGACACAAAGCGTATTTCCAACAACCTGTTACAAACTTTCATGAATAGCGCTGGCTTCGCTCGATACTGAAGATCAGTTGACCAACCAGACAGGGATTAACAACAAGGGAAATGAGAGAATCAATCAACCAAGAACCTATTGCCCAACAAATAAACAGTTGGATTGTGAGGCACACTGTGGAGACCGTTGAGTGACATCTCGCTAACCAGGTCTTTGAGTTGGGCGTCGCTTCAAGGGTGATATATGGAGGAGACGTGAGTTTATGGCGAATCATGGATCCAGTTAAAGAAAACTTAAAGGGACAGGATGAAATGAAGAGGTGTTGTTGAAGCGCCGCTATGTTTCTCTTGGAACAATTTTATTTCTTTGATATCTTCTTCTTCTTGTTGTTGTTACAACACTAATTTTTATTCAATCTTTTTATATCAGGTGTCTGTTATAAATGTGATCAATGCGACAAGTCATTTTCAAGAAAGTATGATTTAAATCAACATGTAGTTTATTGGCATTATGGTAAGGAGGTCATGATTTGATCTTGTTGTATGTTTATATATGTATATATATATATATATATATATATATGTCTATTCAATGTATAGGTTTATTGTTACACTTTGAAGTAAGAGACATTTATGAATAATGTCGCATAAGGTTAACAGAATTTACAGCAAGATTAGAATTTTCATGTAACATTAATTTTCAAGAGTTGGTTTGTAAGGATTAGATTTGCTTTTTACGAGTTTGACCACGGATTGATATCAGTTAGAGAGAACCATTGAAAACCAGCACCAGGGAGTACTGGGCAGCTGTTTCGTCAGACTAGTTTTGGAATCATTGGTAGTACGCGCCCACACTGCGGGGTTCGAACCTAGGACCTTCCGGTTACAAGACAAGCTCGTATACCATTCAACCACTGGGACCCGATCCACTGGACAACTCATGAATTCTAACTTCTACCAATTCGTGATTTAGTGTGACTGGCAACAAACAATGTCATCTGTGGGACATCCATCCTCACACTTGACTAGATGTGCACCTGACTGGTCATGACATCTCACTAGAACTCCAGGAAACTCCGTCCTGTTGCAAGTCACTGGCGAGCATCCGGTCCCAGAGTCTAAATGGTATATAAGTATAAAACTTGGGCACTGTGGTAGAGTGTAACTCCATTATGGATAAGAATTTATTTTGATAAATCACACAATGTTACACAGTAATATTAACTGAGGACGTTTCGAGCACAAATTATTGCTCATAATCATATCAAGTTACTCACACAACTAGCTTGCCTTGTAACCGGAAGGCCCTGGGTTCGAAACCCAGTGTGTATGCACTGATGACGAGTCCGAAATTAGGAAGAAACAGATGTTCAGTACTCCCTGTTTGGTTTTCAATGGTTCTCTAACTGATATCAATGCATGATCAAACTCGTATTAACATTAATGTCAAGTCAGTTCGCAAACTTAGCTTGTTACTATGAAGGTACTTTCAATAAGCCACTAAAGACTTACATCAAGAGTTTCTTTCGTAGGTCAGATAAGCCATTAAAAAGGATAAAAAAGCAAAGGACTTCTGTGGGTAAGAAATCACCGTTAACAAATATGCCGAAGGATAGGGAAGTAAACCTGCGTTAAGGAGATACTCAGTTGACGTGACACACATCAACCTCATGAGTGGAGTGTAAATGGAAGGCCAAGGGGTAGGCGCCCGAGGGTGAAAATGAAGTGAAAGCTTGTGGAAGGTTGTACGACCAGCTTAAAGTGATATCAAAGAAGAGAAATGGAACAGAGATATGCTATCGGAGTTTTGCATTCCACCCGGAATTCAAGGGGACGAACACTAATAAACAATAAGATTAATAGGGGAGCGGGTACAACGATTCATACTACTAACTGAGAAGAACAACTCTAAAAAGTTGATCCAACTTCTTAATTATTAAATAATCGTCGCAGTATACAAATTGTGCTTCGGTTAATGACAACAGAATTTTTTGCATAAAACTCCATACTACTGATTGATTGAGATGAGTAGTTGCCTACCACTCATATCAACCTGTGGTGTGGTACATACCAGCCAGGTCGAGGTAATCTACAGACCGCACGGCAGTTTCACTCGTTTGGGGCCAAGCCTCAGAATTACGCTTTGTCTTCAAACCCACCACTATTTTGCATTCGGGAGTAAAAGACAAACTGCCTAATTTTGCCTCTTCCATGTGTATCTACCGATTTCACTGCTCCTGTGGAGCCAGTTACCTGCCTAAGCCGTACAATTATACATGTTTCTCGCTGCGTTTCCGAACATCACCCTGCTTCGTGGTTAAGTGAAGGACAAACAAAATCCATTCATAGCGCTATTCTGTCTCACTCATCTTGTGGATACAGAACACAAGATTGATGTAAGGAAGGTGGCTTTCAAAGTCACCTACCGCATACCAACTAATCTTAACTTTACTTTAAGAGTTCGTCTACTACATATTGCTGAGGTTGGCTGTTGGTATCCACATTAAGAAGCCTAATTTATGTGTTCAAAAGAAAACGGTTCAGACATTGTCCTTACGTTTTATTCCTTTGCGTACCGAAGTGATTCTATTGGTTTTTATGCGACATTAATTCCTAAAGCTGTTTGAAGAGTCTTACAATGAAAATCGTCTAACCGTATGTAAAGAACGTCTCTATGAAATCACTGCAAAACTTTTCAAACTTTTAGGAATTGATATCGCAAACAAATCAACAGAATCATTTCACTCGGATGTATGTCAACTCCAAAGTCTTAACAACGAAAGAAGATAAAACCGACATCATCTGCAAGATAAATTGTAATGGCTATGAAAAACACTACACTGGCCAAGGTTAACGCCCTGTCGGTCTTCGCACCCATGAACACAAACTAGACGTCGAAAGACATGATATCCAATGCCTCATATCGATGCATACAGACAACTATGGACATCAATTCGATTGAGGCAACGTTCATATATTGGACAGAGGAAACACCAAGAAAACCAGAAAGTTTTCGGAGGCTTGGTATTCCAGTGAATCAGCAATTAACATGCACACTGACATAGATAAAATCTACCAGTTGATAAAAAGGAAATCTTATGCACAAAAAGCCGAATTTCAGGTCAAGGAAACAATCAATACCAATACAAGTAGACTGTAGGATAGGAAAACACATAAAAATAGCTAATCAAGTTCAAGGTCACCAGAAGAGATAACTAATAAACTCGTGGAGAAATTAAAAAGTTCACCTCAAATTGAAGTATGCGATGAAGATGTTGCTTCGCAAGTAAACCATCCAGTTCAGAGGACACAAATACGTGTCAGAATCATACACCATATCTAATCAATTGTTATTATTATTATTGTTCCTTGGGTTCCTAGTGGAACATAGGGCTTCAACTACACGTCTCCACTTGCTTCTGTCTTCTGCTGTACTTTTCACCTGCATCCATGTTAATCCATACTGTTTTAGCTCCTCTTCACACGATCTCCTCCATGTCACCCTTGGACGTCCCAATCGCCGCTTCCCTTTCGGGTTCCACTCCAGGGCCTGACGCGCGATGTCACCCAACGGCCTCCTCGGCGAGTGTCCAATCCATCTCCACTTTCTCCTGCATATTTGTTGAGCGATTCGTTCTTGTTTTATTTGTTCCCATAGTTTCTTGTTGGTGATTCTTTCCGGCCATCTGATCTTCAGTATAGAACGAAGACAGTTGTTGATAAAGGTCTGCAACAGGCTGTTGGAAATATTCTTTGTGACCCTCCACGTTTCTGACCCTTACGTATAGAAGAACTGACTGACTTGATATTTGTATTGAAAATCCGTATTTTGTTGTTGAGTGTTGCTGAGTGACGAAGATTTCCAGATTGGTTTGAGGTTGATGAATGTGTTTCTCGCCTTCCCGATTCTCGATTTGACATCCTCGTCCGTTCCTCCTGTAGTTGAGACAATGCTCCCTAGATAAGTGAAGTGAATGAAGTAACCTCTTTCAAATCCCTTCCGTTGATGCTGATTGGCGATGTGTAGTTGGGCATCTTAAATCACTACGGAAACCATTACGTAACCTTAAACTCGAATGGGCAAAATTGAAGTGTCACGACCCATGGGATGAGAACGCACGAGTAACCTTGGGCCGACCAATCATGAAAATAAGTGATTCTTATGTAAAAAGGGATGTTGATTTACAAAATAATGCATGAAAACACATTAAACAGGATATTTTTCTCTGACATGACTTAAAAGTAGCTCCCAATTATAATGAGAAGTATCAGTTTTTAAGTTAGACCAGTTTTTGTACACGTATTCACCGAGGTGACTGAAGATGAGCTTTTTTATGCCCTGTTTATCACGCTTGTTATATTTTGCGGTCTTCCCCAAAAGTAGTCCTCAGTGGATTTATTGTGGTTTCCAGTAAGAGAATCGATGACTACTTACTAGGAGAATGTGGATAGTAAAACTAATTAAAATAATACCAACCCAGAACCTAACCATAATCGTAACCCTTACCTTTATCCTAACCCTAATACCTACCTTAACCCTAATCCTAACCCTAGCGAGCTATTAACAGGTTGTTCAAACAGTACTTAAAAACGTGATTGGGGTGAAATTTACATCTTAATTCGTGAATGGCGTTCACATTGGTGCTCTAATAATGACAGGTTTCGTTTTCCAGCGACTAGCGTGAGTTCAGGGTCACTGGGACGTTCGCGCCTTTGGGACTTTAACCTCACCCTAAATGTATAACTGTCGTCGCATTGCGTTCTATCAATTCGTAATCCCAGTTGATATTCGTCTATCGAATCTTAGTGTCGTTTACTGTATAGCATTTTGCTTTCATTCCATTGCGTTCTGACTGCGACCGACGACTTTAGGATTTGAAGTCTCAGTAGCCATGGTGTTGGCTATTCTTGGGGGTTGAAGTTGGTAGCCTCAGACCCAACCTTCCCTATTTTCGAGACTTATTATCTGCTAGATGAAGTTTAGGAGTGGGTCGTTGGGAATCGAACGCGGAGCTTCATGGTGTCTGACAAGCCTTCTACCACTGTACTTTCTCTTATTAAGGCGTCAAGCGTATACATATATATGCTGCTACATTATGTTTGAAGTTCAAAATCAATTGGGTACGACTGGAACTGTGGACAGAATACTTTGAGGAGCAGTTTAGTCGGCCTGTAGCCATGCTCAACTTACCGAGCATCCGGCACCTCCCTGAATGGGATATAGACATAAGTCCCCCTTCCCTAACTGAGTTTACAAAGCTGTCACTAGTCTTAAACGAGAAAAAGCTGCGGGACCTGATGGAATGACTCCATAGGTGTTGAAGGACGGTTAAGACGGTTTACTGCCATTGATTATTACCCTGATATACAAGAAGGAAGACAAGTCTTCCTGTGATAATCACAGGGGGATTAGTTTGACCAGTATCTAAAGTCCTAGGCTCAGTAATCATGCGTAGACTAAGCGGTCCACGGGGGGAACAAACATGTGAGAGCCAAGCAGGCTTTAGACGAGGAAGACGGTGTATTGATCATATCTTCAACCTTCGACAGATTCTGAAACACAGGCATACTTACCGGCGTCCAACAATCGTTATATTTCTTGACCTGGAAGCTGCATTCGATTCTGTTGACCGAGAGGTACTCTGGTGATGCTTGGCTGTAAAGGGAATTCCGAGAAAATGCATTGCACTGATCAAGGCACTCTACTCGACGGACGTGGCATTAGTCAATGAAATCTACAACAGTTAGTTTAAGCCAGCCACGTAGGGAGATGTAGACTTCCTGACTGTCTGGTTGGGGTCCTTGTGATGATAAGAACAATTGAAGGCTAGAGACAAATGTTGATATGGCTCAAACTCATCGTCCTCAATGGCTGGTGCAGATGCATCCTCTCTTTGTCATTTATAATATCCAATAAAACTCTACTATTGTTCTTCCATATTACTATTCTTTTTGCCTTATATTTCTGTTTTGAATTTCATTTTACTTTCTTCTCTTTCTTTGTGTGTTACATGGAGCGAGTATAGTAACTCGAACTGCTACACATCTCTGCAAAGTTCTACGTTGAAACCAGTCAGTCAGGTTACATATATTTGTATAAATGTATATTTTCTTCTTGTTTTTTTGTTTTGTTTATCAACCTACAGAAAGTTATTTAAAGTCAAAGAATTTAAATGGTATATCCCTCAAAGAAGACACGCTACAGGAGCCTGTAGAAATTCCTCAGCAAAGTGAGTACTGTTCATTAGCTAATGTTAATTTTATTCCCATGCTATTGTTTAGTTAAACTATACTTAAAGGTTGAATGAAAATTCAGGCGTTTTCATGCTATCCATCAGTACGGTTGTAGTAGACTTTCATCTATATCCCCTTGTTGTTTGGGATGAATTGCTGTTAATTTGTTGGGAGTATTCAGCAAGAAACCTTCAACTGATGCCTCGTGTCTGTTGGTACACTCAACAGCAAGTTAGATCTACAACCTTGGAAGAACTGATTTTCTTCTCGAAGATTTTCACCTGAGCCACCTAGTAGTGCTGCAGTCAAAGATGTCAGAATGATTCTGATTTAAGTAGTATCTTACAGGAGTTTGATAATTGCCATCCTTCAAAGAAATTCACAACGGAATTTGGGAATGAATCAAAGATTCCATCGCAGGACATGGAATTGACAAGAAGAGGTGATGAAACTCTGAGAAGACGTATCCACAAAGAAACCATCATGGAATGGCCAACTGACGAACTATTACAGTTGGATACCTATCAGTCGCAAAAGAGCTTTCATCCTGTCGCTGGGCAACCGTACCAGAAAAATTAGCAGAGAAGACTGCATAGGAAAAGAGCTTTGATTTCTCGAAAACATCCTAGCTCAAAATGGATACTCGACGCGTTTGGTGGTGAAGAACATGAAACCAAAGTTACAAAAGGGAAGAATACACTTCAGTGCCAAAGAAAACACTACATCTGAATCTGGAATTCAGGAGAAACCTGGCAGCAGATATCCTTAAAAGAAGAATCTCCAGTTCCCTAAAGAAGACCTTTCTTGCAGAGACTCTGAAAGTGATATTCTCCAGCTACCTACTGCTTCGAAGCAATGTGGTGCACAGACTTCCGCATATTACCACTTCAATGTGCATGTGTCAGTTCACCTGCTTGTGTGGAGCAGGGTACATAGGTCGTCCCATGCGGTTCCTATCAATATGTGTTAGAGAGCATGGCTACAAAGAGGAGGTACTGGTTCAATGAGGAGCACTATAATTGAACACCTCGCTAGTCGGCACCGGTCACAGCATCTCAACTGCCTCATCATTCGGAGTCATTAACAAAGTAAACAAAAATCTACCAAAGGTAGTGTATTTCCGATTTCTTTGCACTGCAGAAGCCCTCGCCATATTCATCGAAAAACCGGAGCTGTGTGTTCAAAAGAAACTGGTTTAACCTCTACATTCGGTTTGTCTCCTTAGGTGTCGTTTTTTCATCTCCTTCATTTTTCTCTTTTGTTCTTTCTTGCTTCTTTTTCACTTTCAGTTTTAAAATATAATTCTTCGAATTTGTTCCCATGCTCATCCCATTCACACCTTTATTCGTTAAAAAACTATTTTCCATTGCTGTATAATTTTGTTTCCAACCCCCGCCCCCCCTTGTTACCTATATTCACACCCTTGAACTTTCATATCAAGTTGAAATTAAAATGATTTCTCCAGCTATCGAAATATTTATTTTACATGCATAGTAACTATTTTCCAATCCTATGTTATCCTGTCTCTAAACCCCTGGGTAATCTATAATCGATATTCACACCTTCAAACTTTCATGTCAAGTTGGAAGTTATTATGACCTTTAATCGCCTTCGTTACTACGTGAAATTAAATAGTAATAATAATAATAATACTATCTGTGTTAAATTATGTATATAAATGCGATTGTATAGGAGATTTCGAGAAGGAAATCACCAAAAAGATCAGCAACTTTGCTGAACTTTTTGTTATTTTCTCTCCAATACACCTGAAATATACCAAAGGGGGAATTACATAAATGGATAAATAGATGACTAACTATTAGGTGGTCGGAGGCAATCGAAATGAAGCCTTGCAATTTGCGGCGTGATGGTGAGCCGCCTAGTGGCATGGTGGCCACATTGTGAACTTGACTGAAGCAAAGGACTAGACACACATTACACTAATTCCTAACTAATGTCCAATCGAAAAGTAAATGGTTGATTGCTTGAAGTTGTAACGCAGAAATTTGCACAGAAATGCATCATTTCAAGTTGGTATACTTTGAGTAACAGAAAAAATAGAGGAAATAGAGAAAAGAAATTTAGAAGCAGTTTAATTAGCAGAAATGTGAGGGAGAAGGAATGTCGATATGGGAAAACAAGAGGAATTGATGGATCTGTGGAAATGACAAAGAGTGGATGCGTCTATGCCATCATTGAGAATGATATTGAGACATATCACCAATAATCTGAAGCCATTGCTGGTTTCGAGCGTCTTAAGTAACCAGGTCGAGCAGATCACACCTTCCTACATGATTCAGATTGACAATCAAATAAGGTTCTTCTTTCTTTATCGAAATTTATCAAGCAAATCAAGTGCATGAAACAGTCAGGGACTTCATGGATTGATGTCAAGGTTTGATTCGCCTACCTCTAACTCTTTTCCCAACTCGGAAGAATGGGGGAACGTCAGACGTCAGGCTATGAACTCCATCTCTTCTAGATAACACTCCCGATGTTGAAACTCCAACGCTCAACGACATACTTTTCAGACAAAGGAAAAAGAAGAGGTAGTTTTTCTGAATCGTTTAATGCATTGGTAGGACACATTTCGAACAATTTGATCACACAGGGACTTGTCATTGGCATAAATATGATTGGAAAAAAGAAGGAATTAAGGCGTGAGAAAATAGACTTAGGTCAAGTGAAAAGGACATATTGAAGGTGAAAATAACAATGGAGATCACTAAACCAAAGAATGGAGGTAATAGTACATCTACCCTGGCTAGTATCAAAACAAAATTTACCAAGGAAGGCTTTTTGTAATAAACAATTGTTTTGGTTGAAACAGCGAAATTGCTAGGTTTTTTTCACAAAATTTAGGTTACGCCCCGCCCCAAACACTTTTTAGAGACAGGTTTACAAGACATGTGTAAAGATCAATTTTATATCGTGTGTCTATAGTATGTTTCTCAACAGAGGAACTAGGTCGTCTGTTCTCACCATTGATGGGTTGTAGAGATTCAATTTGATGCTGATGCCATTTAGAATTGTGCTCTGATGCCCTTCCTTGCAGAGACTGATGAGTCCTCCCTATGTGTGTGTGTATCCAAAAGTAAATTTCAATTGGTAAATGCATTGGAATGTGACTTCATTTTTCACATGTTCGAGGAGCTTAGATGAGAATATGGCGTGCATATTCTCAGTTATACTGCTCTTATGAGTTTCCAGACTGTAGATGTTACGAACTTCCTGGAATATTCTTAGCGCCTAGTAAGATTGATTCATTATAAATTATTTAAATTATTCCCAGCTTTTTTAGGAAGAATCTTGTTTTGATTTTTTCTTAAACACACTGGGATTAATTTGAATAATTGCTACTGATCTTAGCTGTAAAAAAGTCTTTTGAAACCGCAGCGTTCAATCTTTGTCGAATTTCCAAGGTGCTGTGATCACCCATTGAGGGGAGCTTGTTATAAACTTCTTTGTTAATAGTGAGTTGGAGAGTGGGTTTCAGTGGTGACACAAAGGAATGGGGAAAATCCAACCAGATTTTGATGAATTCAGGAGGTTACAAACAGTGATCAATTTTGAATCAGATCACTAAAAGTCACCGAGCATTGGTTCTTAGTGTCTCGAGGACTCCAATCAGCCCGACTAGACTTTAAACAAAACGACAATCATTGAGTTCAAACATTGATGCCAAGTTTTGATAAGACCACAGTGTAACCTTTTTCCAACCTAATCTCTTACATCACCTAACAAGCATAGATCAAGTTACAGTACATTGAATATCTAATCTTCCTTGAATGGACCATAATAATAACAATAGAAGAAGCTTACTTTGATGAAGCGTTAATTCATGCTCTTTCAAGGTACTACTGTTGTTAAATGTTATATAGCGCTGATGATATTTTGAAGATATTGGTACCTCCAATGAAAAGTAGTCAAAATCAACAGTTGAAACATTTGACACTACCAACATGGATATGTTGAAAAGTAATAATAATGATTGTTTTTATTCTTGGTCCGTTGACCATTGACGTTCCGAGGTGGGATTCACTTTCTTACGAATTCCATAAGCTGTCTATTTGAGATTTTTGACATGACTGCTAGTCAGTGCTTTCGGTGTGTGTTTTTCCTCTCACCTAATTCATTATACCATATTCACCACTGTTCCTGGTGAGTGAATGCTCAACCTCGCTGTATCAAATCTTGAAGCTCCTTGATTCGCCTGTGTTGCATATGCTGATCACAAAGATCCTGAACCTGTCCCTGGTTATAGAAGACTCCGCGTAATATGCAGAATACAGTAACCAACGAGAAGCAACAAAGAACGAAAGGTGGTACGATTGTTTATTTTCTCACCGATGAAGAGACAAAAATACAGGTTGCTGTCAGCAAATTCTGTAAATAAACATTAATAGAATGTATGATTATACTTTTGATCGTATATCTCCCCGCCATATGGAGACCAGTGCGAATAAGTGAACGATTCAATGGTCACCAGCATTGACAGATCCCCTATTGGGGAACGTTATGGGTGTTGAGATGAAACAATAGTGTGTAATTTTTCAGTGCTTCTCGCCAACTGAAGTCCTTTCTTCCCCCAGCTTGAAATCAATCAAATCTCCTAGAGAACAACACTTTAAAATTAATCTACCGGTGATAAGTGAGTGAAGTGAGGGATGAAACTGCCTGGAGTCCTACTGAAGAGGAACCGTGACCAGCGGGGTCTACGAGTTTGAGCGTAGGAACAAATACTCGTGGATGACGATATCTAGTGGGATAGCTTATGTATATTTCAAATATTTTTCTTTTTTATTGATACACTGATTTTTAAATTTTCTAATAGTTGATCATGTACAACAAATTTCCCTCAATAAATTTTGATTTCATTTATTTTTTTAAAATTTCTTTAGTTTACTACTTATCTTGTTTAAGTAGCTTAGTTAAGAATATTTCAAGTGATTCTCTGCCTATTCATAAATTTCTGCTGTGTTTGTTTTTATTTCAATCAATATTAGGTGCACTTTTCAAATGTGAACAATGTGACGAGATATTTTCAAGTATGTCTCGTTTACGTGAACATCGAATATCTCATGAATGTGAGTTTTTTTTCTTTATATTGAAGTGGAGAAATAATTACTATAATTAATTATATTATGTTGTTTCAACAGGAACCAATATGAATTAGAGATGAAGAAGCACGAGATAGTTGTTTCATTCTACTATAGATGGGACTCTTCAGTAATTAACTCATCCTGTATCCCATTATAAATCTTTAGGCTACCAGGCGATCCTGTCGACTACTCAGCCACTGGATTTGATTTCGATGATCGTTGATTTCTGACTTCTGTGAATTCATGATGTAGTGCTACCGCCAGTTAAAGCAATTGATGGAGGTTCTCTGCATACCCGACATGGTACACTCCACCGACTGCAACTTTGTGACTTCAGTATGGATATGCTGGGATTCAGATGGATTATCGCGGTTAGATTCCAACCAAGCAACTCCAGTGTTCAATGGGCTGTGCTCATAACCTCAAGGTCATAGGTTGGTTCCTAACAGTCTCGTGCTTGATTATTGCGGAGGCGTCCCTAACTGGAAATAAATAGTTATTCGGTGGCATTATTATCGTTTTCAGTGATTCTGTAACCTATGTTGCTTCCGCGATCTAATTGTAGTTTACAAGGTGTAATATTTTCTCCCACCGGCATTACATAGTATATGTTTGATGATAAGCTTGGTCCAAAATGAATGCAACTGATGTACGGCTTTTAGATTGCTTCGATTCGGCTAACAACCACTGCTGATTGGTGTGAGTGGTATCTAACTACTCATATTAGATAATCAGTAGTATATGTAGCATCATGCCATTTTAATGCTAGCTCCACTCTTGAAGCGACCACCAAACCTTTGCTTCCTACTTCTTTTCCACTGGGCTGCCTAACAGGCGTATGATGTTACTTGAAAGCCTATTTACTCAGTGAATTTTTAATCTACTCCTCTCCCATCTGCATATATTTTGGATTATAAGTTGTTTTCCGGTTCTCTCTGCCTATCTGACTTCGTTGTCACATTTTTTTTTGTTAAGCTGGTCGTCTGATCGGCACTATCGGGTTTACTAGTTAACTAATGGGTCCTAACAATCCCGTCGCTAATAAAACTTCAAAGTACAGAAAAATAAAGTTCTCAAGGGTTAATTTGTAGCATGATATCAGATTGATATCAGTTAGAGAATCATTGAAAACCAACAGTGTGTACTAGACATATGTCTCTTCTCAGCCGGGGACTCTCCATCAGTATACACCGGAATTCGACCTCAGGACCTTCTGGTTACAAGACAAGCCAGCAGACCATTCGGCCACTGAGGTCAGGATCCAATGGCCCATTAATCCCTAACTAGAAGGGCTTAGATCTGAACTCTGGTGAGTGTGTGGGCAGTTGAGGAGTCCCAAACAAGGACGAAACAGCTGTCCAGTACTCCATGCTATTTTCCATTGGTTCTCTAACTGACATCAATCCATGATTAAACTTGAAAAAATGAACTTTTTTTACTAGGATTATCTATATCTTTATGCCTATTTTGTATTGTGTTTTTGTTAATTATCGCAGATTCACAGCTCACACAAATTCCATATGAGTCATTATTCCCGCAAAAATATGACATGAACAAAGACAAGTTATTTCAACATGAAGGTGAGTAATAAACATCTTGTTTCTCCTTAACTTTCCTTATTAATTATTAAAGAATACTTTTGTTTCTCCTGATTTACGTCTAAGGCGTGTGCGTGTACGTGGTTCAGTGGTTGAATATTTGCCAGCCATATGGTGAAAGGTGTGGGTTCGACTCCCAGCCGACGTATCCTCTGAGACTTTGCCTAGTTTGATGGCCATCAGTTGACCCTCAAAAAAAAGGGAGGCTAGATGTGAGGATAACGGTGCCATCTGGTAAAATAAAACCCACCACTGATATCCGGCTGTCTATCGAATGGCGTGTGTACTGCTCAGCAGTTCGCTCTGTCCGCCTTCATGGCTGGCTGTGAGACATGGCCACTGAAAGCGGAAGACATGAAAACGCCAGCTAGCTGTCTTTGATCATATATGCTTACGTTCAACCTCCCGTTTTAAGTGGAATAATAAGGTGAGCAATATTGAGGTTAGGCATTAGTCGAGTGCTAGGTAGGTGGGAGCGGAAATCAATCGACGAGGTTGTGAAGTTACACTCATTGAGATGGTTAGAACATGTGTTACGCATGCATTCCTAGCCGCCAATCGCCTTCCACGACGATCAATGTTAGCTGACACGGAATGGGTCACTTTGGAAAAGAGCCAGTGGTGGTCAAACCAAAACATTGCTTCATTAGTCAATGAAATCCACAACAGTTAGTGTAAGCCAACCCGCCAGTCACGTAAGAAGGTGTAGACTTTCTGAGTGGCCGGGGTCTTTGGAATGGTAAAAACCAATGGGGGTGGCTGGTGACAATTAGGGATATGGTTCAAAATCGTTGTCGACGACTGGCGAAGATTCATTCACTCCTTGTGATTAATCATATTCAATAAAACTATTCTTCATCCATATTACTATTCTTTTTGCTTCATATTTCTGTTTATTGTCCCTCTTTACTCCCTTCTCTTGCTTTGTGTGTTGCAACGCGAACTGCTGCACATCTATGCGAAATTCTACATTGAAACCATTCACTCAGTCAATCAAGATTAGGATATGGATGACTCTAAGAAAATTTATGATGGCTCTTTCTAAGGTCATTGGTGTGAGTTCGCACTTGAATTGAAGCTGAGACCGGGTACAAGGAAGAATTCGTCATGATCTGGACATCAGTTGAACAACCATTGAAAACCAGGCAGCAGTCGGAATTTGTTCCGTCCTAGTTTGAGATCATTAAGCAGTATGCATTCCTGAGCCCTGGCCCGCTCCCTCCCCCGCATCAGGAATCGAACGTGGGACTTCAAAGTCTTGATAGACAATAAACATTGGAATCAATCAAATGTTTATAAAATCAACATATGGAAAAAAACTGAGTGCTCTTGAAATCCCTTTATCAACTATGAGATATAAGCGTAGGCCTCCTATATTTCTGTGCCGAAATTAAATATATAGACTGTAGGATGAAGTTTCTAAGCATGCTGATGAAATTAGGAATAATGCACTAATATTGGTGTAGCTGTTTGTTTAAGTCAGTTTTGTATTCCCCGTCGATTGGTCATGCTGGACCGATTTCTTTGATATCTGTTGACATGCTGGCTCCAAGCATGGATTCTTCGACGATATCTATGGATTCAAATGATGTTATTTGGTGGGCGGCGACCATCAGTTGAATCTAGGACGCACATTTCGTCCTACTCGCGAGTTATCAGCTGGGTGTATGGGCATGTATCCCCAGTGTGTGATAATGTGCCCTTCGAGACTCAAACGCTAAAAACTAGTCTAAGTGGCCTGGTGGATAACTCTTTGGTGTTTGAAACGATAGTTGGTGGGTTCTAGTCTCAAAGAGGACATATCACTCACCCAGCATAACTGTCTCCACAGGAGTAGCCGAATCGATAGATACACGTAATCAAGTGTTGGTTTTCAAGAATTTGATTGGTTACAGAACTGATCACGATTAGACATCAGTTAGAGAACCATTGGAAAAACTGGGACTACTTGACATCTATTTCGCCCTAGTTTGGGACTCTTCAGTAGCACGTGACCACCATGGTTTAAACCTAGGACCTTCTGGTTACGAGGCGAGCTCGTATACCATTCAGCCACTGAGACCCGACCCATCGCTCCAAGAACTCCAACTTCCGCCACTTCGTGATATATTTGGCGCTGCTGGCAGCCAATGGCATAAGCGAGTAACTGTCCTCCTCCTTGATTTGGTGGGCAACACTGGTTACGACTTCTCACTAGAACCTCACGGTCCCTTCGACTGAATAATCTACGGGCTCACCTTGTTACTGGAAGGCCCTGGGTTCGAAACCCGGTGGGTGCGTGTTGCTGAAGTGCACCAAACTAGGACAAAACATCTGTCCAGTTCTCCCAGATTTTCCAGTGGTTCTTTGATTGATGTCAGCTCGTGATTGGTCCTGAAATACACATGAATATGGAATAACTAGCTAACCTTCCCTTCGTTTGACTGTCAGTTATTCGCCGTTGAGCAGATGGTTGAAGGCGATTGGAAAGAAGTCCTTATTTGTTTACTATTATTTTATTCTTTTACGTTCCCAGTGGAACATAGGGCTTCAAGCTGAAGCTTTGAAGTTTCAGTTGCAGTGGTTTCATTTTTATGAGGTGGGATTGCTAGCCTCATGCCCAACCTGCCCTCTTTACCAGTCATATTATTGACTTGGCGAGGTAAAGGAATGCGTCGGCCGGGTATCGAACCCCGAACCACCTGTGTGGTTGGCGGGCATTCTACTGTTGTGCCACTGACGCATTGAAGGAAGCCCTATTTGACCTATGTTTCGTCCTTGTTGGCAACCCTCGTTAGCAACCTTGAAGGAATTCATATCCCCTCTGAGATTAAAACCCTTGTCACCCAGTGCTGCAGTCAGTAGTGACGTTGCTACTGAGCTATTCAAGGTCATGATCGACGTCTTGTAGGACTGTAATCGATGCTTTGATTGATTACTAGTTGGTAACTAGTATCGTCAGTTTAGTTCTTGGTGTTGGTGCAGACGGAATCCTGTCAAGCAAGCTTGCAATGTGGTCACCATGCTAGCTAGGTGACTCACCGTCATAGTGTACTCTGAATTGTTGTCATGTGGTTGGAAGCAGTCGGCAGGTGGGCTTAGGTATCTTGGTTGTAGGCAGTTGTCAGCAATTTTTACTTTATTCCTTTGCTTGCCCAGTTGTTATAACTCCGTTGCCCCAATTTGTTATGACTTAACTGTGAGTAGATCCTTTGCTACTTTGTTATGCCTGCGCCTGTTAATCACTATAACGGTAATGAACTCGACTGGTACACGCTAATACGTGTCTATTTGTCCGTTTTGCCTTCCGATTCACTGAGCTACGCAAATATCAAAAGGCAGAGGCTGGCCTGTGACTGTAAGATATTGTATTGTACTATTTTTTTAAGAAAACAAAACATGATATTTATACATTTTCTTAACCATAATATGGTCGGCTCACAGCCGTGGGAATATATTGTTCTTATAGGCTGGAAATGTCTATTGTCATTAGTCGGAGATCCAACAAAGATCAAGGTGAGACAAAAGACGATGAATTGATCACACACTAAACCATAATATGCGTGAGAAGTGATACATTCACATAATAACTCCATCACAAGGTAAATCACATGACTCGTGAGAAAGTATGATATACTATTTTATGCTGGGTCCTATCACCACTGGAACATAGGGATTCAAGCGACAACTTTGAAGTTTCGGCAGCAGTGGTTTCATTTTTACCGGCCTAATTACTAACTAAGTGAGGTTTAGGAGTGCATCGACCGAGGATCGAAACCCGAACCCATGAGCACGGTTAGCGAGCATTCTACCTCTGTGCAACCGATGCACGCATCAAGGCGTATCTGTAATCTGTAAGGTTTGTTGCGTTTATTGATTTATGAAATTACCGAGATATTACATCTGAGTCAAGGAATCATGAATATATTCATGTAGTGAAATTCATTTTGTAAACTATCACCCGGTAACTGTCTTTCTTGCTTTCTTGTTTCTTATCACTTATCATTTCAAAGTTGATGATCCTTTTTGAATTATTTCATGTGACCCTAAAATGTTTTATCTCTGTATGTACATATTTTGTTTTTTGTTTAGGTAAACCATTTATTTGTCAACAATGTGGTAGAGGTTGTTCATCGAAAGGCATTTTAAGGCGACATATTAGAATTACTCATGAAGGTATGATATATACAAGCATATATATATTTTATTTTTATTTATTTTATATTTTATTATAGCTTGATTCCATACAGTATTTTAGTACAAGTATGAAATTTTCAGCATGCGATATCGGTAGCCCAAATTTACCACCCCGACCATGGATATCAGGTGTGCGTCGGCGGCCGATCGAACCTCGGACCATGTGCATGGTCGTCGAGAATCCTAACCGCTGCCCCACCGATGCACATATATATATATAAATGTTCATGTATCACTGTTTAATTTATGTCCATTTTTACTTGTAGTCTTGTGGAGGAGTCGGTGGCACAGCGGTAGAATGCTCGCCGACCATGCATGTAGTCCGGTGTTCGATCCCTGGCCGACCCACTCCATTACCTTGCTAAGCCGGTAGTAACACTGGTAAAGAGGGAAGGTTGGGCTGGGCATGAGGTTAGCAACCACATCCCGTAAAATTAAATGCCACTGCTACGGAAGCTTTAAGCCTAAAGCTTGACGCCCTCTCGATGTTCCACTGGGAACGTAAAGGAATAAAAAAACATTGTGGAAGAGGATTTTGTCCACTCTAAGGCTCGACTGCTTGACAACGTTAATAAGCATAATCATAATAGCTTTATTTCAAAAGGTATTGTTGATACAAATATGGGACTAGACGGTTGGAGGTAATCTGCAGGAAGCCTTGTACACCACCTAGGTTTCTTGCTAGTTGGCACTCGTCAACAAGGCGTTAGCACTGGGTGACGCGGGTTCGAATCTCAGAAGGGACATGAATTCCTTCAAGTTTGCATATATTCCTTGCTGACTGGTGAGTGCCGACTAGCACGAAACCTAGGTCAGGTAGGGCCTCCTCCTGCCGATTGCCTCCAACCATCTAATTTCATCAAATCAATGTTCTCCGTGATGGCGAGCTACCTAGAATGCTGGTGGCCACCTTGCAAACCTGACTGATAGAATTCATTCTGCACCAAAGAAACGACTCGACACATCACACTAGTTACTAAGTGTCCAATCAAATATGGAATTTTCAGCATGTAGAAGTGCAGTATTGCATCTGATTTTCTCATTAGAGGGGTAATAATCAAAACAGGGCATTTACATTGATAATATGAATGTGAATATAAAATAAAGTGAAAGTAATAACAGCAATATAATAATGAAAGAAAAGAGGGCCGTTTACTTGGTGTTTCACCGAAATTTCGCCCAGTATTCTCCCTTACACTTTTCTCATCACATGAACTGTGAACTACATGAGGGATTGTGGAGTTCTTATACTCTGGCGTCCGAGCAAATAATCCTCTATAGTTACTTCTAGTTCTTCCTGATAAGATACCAGGAGAAAACGTTGTGTATAGAGAGGATACTCAGGTTCAGCCAAGAAAATATTCATCGATTCCTTGGATGAGTTCAAGTTGGTTTAACAACATTTCAGTCATCCTACCGACAGCTTTTAGTGTCCTCCACAGTGTAACAAGATCTTTCATAAGTAGTCCAGGAAAGATTAAGTGGGAGCAATAGAGAAGGATAGGTAGGATACAAGAATTAACAAACCTAGAAAGTAGAGACAGAGTGATACCAGATCGTCTTAACTTCCCTCCGTAGAATGTTAAACGAAATATCTTTCTAGAAAATAATATGATGTGGAACGATGTGGAAAACGTAAAATGTCTGCACATTTTTTGAGGATAGTAGCTGATGGACCATCTGGGCCAAGGGACTCGGTAGGTTTCAAGGATTTGAGACACCTAAGGATGTCATTTGTATTAAAACCGGAGAAGCGATCATTATTAAAAACACGTGTTACTTATCTGGAATCATAACATCTACTGGACGACATATGAAAGACTTATTAAAGCGTAACAGCATCAACTGAAGAAGGATCGTTATATATTTTTGCTTACCTACCACCGGTGATTTTCTTAAATAGCTTTCACATGTTTGATGAGGTTTTGCATCACAAGAACTTTTATTTATAGAATCATATTTATTCTCTGTATTTCTAATTTAATTAAAGTGTACCTGTATCCCTTTAGTGAGTGATTGTGTCCCCCTACTACGAGACTTACAGGCGAGAACCAAGTCGTGACCAGTAGGGTGCAGCAGGTCGGTTGTGAGGACAAATACTCGCCGAAGACATTGGCTAGTGGTCGCGCTATGTCGTGAATTGGCAGAAGTTAGAATTCATGGACTGGCCATTGGATTGGGTCCCAGTGGCTTAATGGTCTATGAGCTACCTCGCCTTGTAACCAGAAGGTCCTGGGTTCGAACCCTTGCGGTGGGTGCGTACTGTTGAAGAGTCCCAAACTAGGACGAAACAACTGTCCAATACTCCCAGCTGGTTTTCCAATGGTTCTCTAACCGATGTCAGCTCATGATGAAATCCTGAAAACCAACAAGTTGGCAGAAATGGCAGCCAGTGAAGATGGGACTTCAGTTGAATATAGAGAAGACAGAGGTGATGAAGATGCTTGAGCACTAGTCACTATCAATGGAAGGAATTTAAAAGAGGTCACTTCCTTCAATTATCTAGGCAGCCAGCATCGTTTGAACTACAGGCGATCTCACAGATGAGGATGTCAAAACCAGGATTGAAAAGGCTTCACAGACATTCATCACTGTGAAATCAGTTTGGAAATCTACTACAGTCAGCATAAAGAACAAAATTCCGACTTTCAAAACCAATTTTAAGTCAGTTCTTCTAATATAGGTCAGGAACTTGGCCAATGCGTTACGGAAAGCATTTTGAACAGGCTTCAGACTTTTATGAACAGCTGTCTGCGCTAGCCAAATAGCGAAGAAAGTGGAGATGCATCGGACACACGCTAAGGTGACCGTTGGGTGAAATGGCGTGTCACGTCATTGCTCGAGTGGGACTCGATTGAGAAACGAAGAGCTGGGCGTCGGAGGGTAACGTGGAAGAGATGAAGGCCTATGAGCAAACGTGGAGTCAGCTAAAGATGACAGGACAAAGTGGAGGTGTACTGTTGAAGCTGTATGTTTCATTCGGAACCTCAGGGAATGGTAATATAACATAGTATTAACCGTCGAAGTATTCGCATTAGAAGCCGACATGCCAAAAGCGATTGAGTATATCAGTCGAGTGTAAACCAAATACAAACTGGACAAGCAACAATTGATAATCGTTTCACAATGGGTGGTTTTCGTGGTTGAAGTGCTCTAGAAGATAACGCTTCGGTGCGCGTGAATCGATTAGGGAGTTGGGTTCGAGTCCCAGTGAAAGCATCATCACTCACTAGGGATATAGGTAGGTGTACGCAGTTAATGAGCACTAAATAGAATGAAATACGCATCCTAGATTCTACATTAACTAACGACTTTCAACCATTTTTATTTTTACTTTAAAGACTTTGTGAATTTCATACTTTTGTTATTTCACCATGATTGCTGATATGTGCTTTCTTTGATTTTTTTTCCATGATATCAGGGCGTAATTTTCCATGTGATCAATGCGGTAAAACATTTACACGAGAATGTAATTTAAAGGAGCATAGATTAGCATTTCATGAAGGTTAGTTATAATTAAAAGTGAAAACAACTCTGGTTTTATCGCTTCTAGGATGGATTATTTGTGTGTGTGTGTGCGTCAGTGGTTCAATGTTAAAAAATACACGCCAGCAAAGCAAGCTGGTTCATGTTCGATTCCCAGCTGATGAAACCTCACCTCGTAAAAGCGGCGTCATCATCGCTAATGAAGCTGGAAGGAATGAGAAAAATGCCTATGAATTTGTATGTGGTTCCTTTGCGTTCCAAGTGGAACATAAGGCTTCAAGCTGGAACTATGAATTCTAAGTAGAAAAAGGCTCATACAGAGAAGAAAATTTTCCCTTTCGACGATTCACTTTCATGAGCTGTACACTGGTAATTATATTAAACAAAGAAATCTGTAGACCAATCAGATTCTGGTAAACTTTGTCCTCGAAAAATACATTATATAATGTAAGGTGTAACCTAGAAGGGATGATTAATTGTAAGTTAGAAAAGAGGCAGAAAAGTGGGCATGACCTAATAAGTGTGAGATAATGACTAATCAATAAGCTCGTGTAGAATGGACAGGAACTAGTGGAAAGGCGATAAAGTTTTTTATATAAAATCTGTATGAAAAAGCAATGTTATTAATAAACAGTAATAGAGTGGTAATAAAATATGGATGATGGGAATAATAATGATAATAAAATAATAGTAGTATAACAATACTAATAATAGTGAACTTACATAATAAAAAGAAAGAAGCAAAATTATGGTAAGAAATGCATTATGGCCACGGTAGGGCGATAGAATGTATGTATCGCTTTTGAATGCAGAGTTCCGGTTTCATATCCCGAATAGCTAATGATTCAGCTATGTACAGATAGCGTATTCGAAGTCCCTTTGTACGATATTGAGGGACTCTGTGTAGCCCTATGAAGTATTCATGCGGGGATGCTCGATGTCTGGAGATGACAAGGTGTTCGAGGATAGAGCTGCTGTTATTCTTCTTTTCTCCTCTGGCTGGCTAACCAAGCTGGACAGTGTTCCAGAATACGTTTGTGGACTTGTCGTTGCGTACGACAGATATATTTTTCTCCGCACGAACAAGTAAATTGATAAATACACATTGAAGTGTCCAAAATCGGTATCTTATCCTTGACGTCAGACTGGATTAACTGTCTGCTGGAGAATGTGATTTGTAAGGTGGCTGTTGGAAACGTCTTCTTCAGACATTTAGAAAGGCGGTTTCTTAGAATTTCCGCTGCGATGTCACCTTTGAATTCCAGGTTCATGAAGAGAGTTTTCTTAGGAACAGTTGCCAATTCTAAGTAGCAGTTGTGTTGTTGTTGTTGTGTATACGGGGTGTGGTTGTTAGCCTCCCACACAACTTTCTCTCTCTTTACCGGGCTTAGTGAGGTTTAGGAGTGCCTCAGTCGGGAATCAAACCTTGCATCGATCAGTGTGGTTGGCGAATGAATATTCGATTACTGAATCACCGATTCTTCTATTCATCGTAAATATCTGTTTCCACATATTCAGAATGATTCTTCCTAGAAGTAGGTGGCGGGCTACTCATTTAACAAGTTCACAAAAGTTTTGTGCATTTTTGCTAGCATAATAATTGTACACCAGAGTAGATTTCTATTAATATGTAACGACAGAAGACAAAGACTAGGCGACAGATTGTTTATTGAGAAAATCAACTGATATTTATAGATATTATGGAGACGCCTTGTGATTGGTTGTTTTCTTGCTGAAGATTATTCTGTTATTGCTTTTGTGAACGTTTCTCAGAAAATGAAGCCATATATCTGCGAATCATATTCCCACACGCTAATTCCGCTGTGATTGGTTGGTGATTTTCTCAAGGTTAAGCTTTGTTATTGTTTTTCTCATGACCCTGATTCGGGACGGAAACACTGACGTAAATTTTTGTCTACAATTTTGGCTTGTTCGCAGCCAGCTCTCTCCACAAATGCACCTACATTTTGTTGACTGATATATTGGAATATCTTTTCTGTAGAGAATTAGGATATCGCGTTTTCATACTTCAATTTCAGCTAGTGGGCTGGATTTTTAAGCTCCACGGCGTTTAATTCAATTGTATTGTCAGCTCCTGAGACAATATGGGCGGCTCATGATTTGATGCATGAAAAACGTGATCGAAATAACTGAGTTGTGTGTGTGTTGGTTTACTGGGAATCAGTTGATTTAAAGTTAGATCACCAACTGCCATAGATTAGAGAACTACTGAAAACGAGACAGGTACACGACAGCTGTTTCGTCCTAGTTTAAGACTCTTCGGTGGCATGGACCTCACTCTGGATCGGACCTAGGGCTTGCTCTTTGACCATTCACTCCTGAGATGGAACCTAATGGCCAACCCATGAATTCTATCGTGTACCAATCCACGATTCACAGTCCTACCTCCAGCCAATGTTATTGGCTAATAAACGTCCTCACACCAGACTTGAACGACCCCATTGGTCTTAAGTGTTCACTAGACTTCAACCTATGGTCCGTCACTAGTGAGGAGTACATAATTGGCCTCTAGATTCTATTCCAGTGGGTCCTGAGTTTGAGTGCATGTGGGCAGCGTCCTAAGTAGGTGTTGCTGAAGAGTCCTAAACTAGAATGAAACAGCTGTTCAGTACAACGTGGTTTTCAATCATTCTCTAGATGATATCCTTTCATGGTCAAATTTGAAATGAATATTTATTAGCCTTGTTATGTGTCCAGTGCTACAGGAAACCTTTTTACTTATTTTTCTTATGGAATGTTAATTATCTCTTCAGGAAGGACAGTGAGTGGTTTTCATTATTCACTAACATCATTTTATTACTATGATTCTTTCTTTTGTTATTGCTCTCTCTCTCTCTCTCTTTGGGTGATGATTAACGGTCACACGTGTTTCTTCTTTTCTGTTAAAAGCATTTAGTGTTAATATATGAGTATTAAATATGTGTCTACTCAAATTCTTTGTTTTAAATATGTGCTGTTAGACTCTAACACCGTGTTTTTTTTCATTCCTCGGAGTTCTGAGTAGAACATAAGACTTCAGACGTGTGCTTTGAGGTTTCAGTAGCAGTGGGGGGTGGAATTACTGGCCTCACATCCAACCAACCTTCCTTCTTTCTCTCCTTTTCTACCTGCCTAACAGTCGGTTATTAAATAAAACGATATTTGAGAGTGCGTTGGCTAGGAATCCAATCTGGAACACTCCCACCTGCCTGTCTGGCGAGTGACTTTTGTGGTGACTTTTAAATATGAATGCTAGTAGACTTCTACTTAGGTTCCACACACACACACACACACGGCTGTAAATAGTTTTGAAGATTTCTTACTCATCGCATTGGTAACTTGTATATAAAACTATGTCATGATTAACAGTTAAGTGACGTTTACTGTTTTTTAAAGTAATTCTGTATTTACTACGTAGAAAAATAAATAAATGATTAAAGGAGGTAGTGCCGGCGGACCGAGTTTTGCGGGCAAAGTCTCTAATCATATGATGAAAGCTAGGATGGCATACGCTAATTCGAGTCACTTCTGTTGTCGTTGTGACGTTAGCCTTGCTATCAAAGGTCGGGGTTACAATGCTGCGCGGTGCACATAGTCTTTCTGTACACCTGTGAAACCTGGACTCTTTGAGCTATGGATTTGTGGCGACTTTGTGTATTCGATCATTGCTGCCTCCGTCTGTCTGTCTGTTTTCGACATAGAACTTTGCACATATGTGCGGCATTTCAAGTCGCCACACTCCATAGAGCACACAAAGCAAGAGAAGAAATGCATAATAGAGACAGTAAACAGAGGTGTGAGACAAAGGAATAATAATAACGAAGAACGATATTGTTTCATTTGAAACCATAAGTCACAAGGAGTGGATACATCTGCACCATCCATTGAGACCTATTTTGATCCATATCACCAATTGTTTCCATCCATTGGTTTTTACCGTCCCGAGGACTCCAAACAGTCAGGAAGTCTACAGCTCCCTACGTGATCGGCTTAGACTAACTGTTGTAGATTTCATTGACTGGTGCCATGTTTCCAGCCTGACCCTATATCAGCTAACATTGCCCGTTGAGGAAGGCGATGACAAGGCATACGTAACACATGTCCTAACCATCTCAGTCGATGTAATTTCACAGCCTCGAAGATTGATTTCCCCTCCTTACCTAGCACTCGACGCCTAACCTCAATATTGCTCACCTTATTATACCACTTCACGCGGGAGATAGAACGCAGACACCTATGATCGAAGACAGCTAATCTTTTCATGTCTTCCACTCTCAATGGCCAGGTCTCACAGCCATAAACAAGGACGAAGCGGACTGATGAGCAGTAAATCCGCCCTTTGGTCGATAACCAGTCGGATACCACGTCTACTAAGCCAGAGATGGCGTAAACTGGCATATGCGAAACTAGCCTTGTGTATCCGTGTAGCAACAGAAGACAAGGGTCGGGCAACAGATCGTTTATTAAGGAAAATCAACACATATTTATAGACTTTAATGTATATTATTGTATATTATTGTTAGTAGAAAATACAGTCTTTTGATTGGTCGTTTCTCACAGAAAGTTAACCTTGCATCTCTTTGTGGCTGTGTCAGATCATCCATATGCTAACTGTATCCGCCTGGGCAAAGCCTTTGTTCTCATTTTCTCACCACCAATATTGGGGAAATAAACATTGACGTCAATTACTGTCTACCAACTTTGGCCAGCAGCCAGCTCTCACCACATCCGTACTGAGATTTCGTCAGAGATCAAACCTTTGGGACGGGCTGATGGTACTTCCCAAATAAGTGAAGCGGTCAACGTGCTCTACCACTTCACTCCCTATTTCTAAACTAGGAGTGTGTTTTACTTGTGCCCGATGATATCATTGCGTGTAAGTAATTCTGAGGTCCGGCAGCGTGTTCGGACATGGTGGAGGTCATCATTCTTTGAGTGTGATCATCTTGAATCACTGGCTTCGGTGGTGGCTCTCCGTTCGCTAGTCCTGTGACTAGATGGAATAAGCACAGAGGTGGTCAGCCTATAAATATACCACTGTGGGATGAAGCGCATACATTTGTGTTAGCTTAGTATCCTTCGGTACCTCACGACTCTCTGGGTGGGGTCCCGAAGGTAATTTGAATCAGTGGCTCGAGATGTTATCAGATATATGGCCTAGTATCGCAATCAACGGCGAATATCCCTTCTTTTCTCGGTTTTCCGAAAGTAACATCAAATAATAAATGTTTGAATGATCGTGATAGGTGTGTGTGTGTTTGCATGTTTGCCTTCTGGATATAACCTCTCTCCCTCTCTCATTTCTTCTATTTATATTTTTCTTATAATATTGTTCTTTTTAATTATTTTTGTGTGACGTAACTCTTCCTTACCTAAGTTTGTGTTTTTAATACTAATTAAATTAATTCATTTATTGATTTCTTCATTGTAGGTAAATTTTTCAAATGCGATGAATGTGATGGTTCATATTCCTCAAGGAGTATATTATTAAGGCATGTTAAATATGTTCACAGAGGTAAGATGGTTAGTTGGTTGGCTGAACTGTCTGGCTGTGTATATGCATTGTATGGATATTTTATTTTAAAACGTTTCGTTGTCTTACTAGACAACATATTCAGTGCTTATTTCATAGTGAAGTGGTTAGCTTTTAGAATTCTCTTCATAAATCGAAATAACCCGTTTTTTCACAGTGACTTTCATTGTTTAGACGTGTTTTTCTAAAGTTTACTTTGATCCTTGGTGATAATTATGTTGTTGATCTCATGTTTAACCCCAAATCAGTATAACTTGATCTTTAACATCTGATAAATTTGATCTATATCACTGAGGATTTGATCATGAACTGACATTAGTTAGAGAACCAGTGGAGTACTTACGAGCATTGGACAGCTGTTTCGTCCTAATGGTTTGGGTCTCTTCATCAGTGCCCAACTTCCGAGGTTCACATTCCTGAACCTTCTGGTTACAAGGCGAGCTCGTATTTCATTAAGCCACTGGGAACCGATCCAATGGTCCATGAATTCTAACTTCTGCCAATTCATGTCCGGTGAGTGCATACTGATGAAGAATCCCAAACTAGGACGATGGAAACAGCTGTCCAGTACTCCCTGCAGGTTTTACAATGATCCCCTAACCAATGTCAGTTGATGATCGGTTGATCCTGAAACCAATCAAATCCCTGCTAACCAACACTTGACTAATATCATTAAGTCTGTTTATAAACTACCTGGTAACACCGAGAGTGGCTGGACTTCTGTCTTCCTCTCGAAATGATGTCTTGTGACCATGAGCCTTTATACTGTGTGCCGGATAAGTTCTATTCACTGCCATTACGCGGTTTCACAACTTACTTGGACGAACAAGACACAAAATGCATCAAAAAGAAGAGTAACACTCAGAGAAAAGTGACTGAAAATAGAATATATTGTTGTCGTTTGTTTTACAGTTTAAAACAGCACTGAAGTACAGATTACCACACACAAAGGTATAGAATAAGAAGATGTGCTATGGAACTACAATGTGATTGAAAGTGTTCGAGTGAGAGAGAGAGAGAAAAAGAGTAAGCAAATGGAGAACAGTGAGAGCTCGATACATCTAGGAGTTCATAAAAAGGGAATGCATCTGTTCCACTGACTATGATTTTGAGCCATATCACCAACATTCACCAAACATTGGATCTTAGAGTCTCAAGTGCCCCGTCCAAATAGTCCATACCTCCCTACAAGTTTCAAACTAACAGTCAAATATTTCATAGATTGATGTCGTATTTTGGTTTGATTACCCCTAACTCTTTTCCATTCTAATCGAGTGTTAGTTAACATTGCTAGGTGTTCAAGGCGAGCATGCGTCTCATCGACTGATTTTCCCTCTTCAGCTGACCTACAAATACCACATATATATATATATCACTTACCATATTATACCACTATAAGACAAGATATAGAACACGAAAACGCCTACTGTGCAGCACTTTATTCCTTTATGAATACTCATCCCTTAAGTCTTCTCTTTCGATATAAACGACAGGAGCAGGAAATTACTTTTAACTGTAATATCAATTTTTTAATAATAAGTTAGTCATATCGCATGTCTCTTTGTTTTTCACAGGTATACACTTTCGTTGTGACCTTTGTGACAAAATATTTTCGCGGACGTATCATTTACGAATTCATCAAATGTCTGTACATGAAAGTAAGCAGTAGTCGGTTTTACTTATTTTTTTAAAAAGATTTTTGATCTCTTGCAAGTCAGATTATACATTATTGTTATTCATTTGATGCCGTCTGAGTAGAATTTACCGCTGTAGTGACACACACCCACAATGTTTACAAGCTTTATTTCCTCCGCTTCCATATCACTCTCGAAGTGATCTCGGATTGGTCGATTCCCATTCGGTGGATTCCACTGGAGGGCGTAACAGGCTGTGTGTGTGGTGTCACTCGAATACCTGCTCAGTGTATACCGAACCCATCTCTTCATTTCTTTCTGCACGTCTGTTGAAAAGCGTTGTGGTTAGTTTATTGCCCACCAGAGTTCCTTATTCCTTATCGTTTCCATCGGCTGGTCATCTGGTTTTCAATATTTAGTGAAGTGGACACTTGTGGGAAATGCTCTTGGTGACGCAAACGCTGAGGCGAATTCCTTTCAATTTCTGCTAAGGATTCTAATTATTATTTGTTGCTGTTGGTTGGCTATCTTCATCATCTCTGTCCTTTTTATGTTTAGCGAAAGTTCAGCCTTCGCTTCCTCTTTACATCAGCTTGTTGGTATCCTCTTGCTTATCTCCAACTTTGTTCGACATAAGACATAAATCATCCATGGAAGACAGATCTTCTGGGGGGTCTTTTTATGGGTCTACTGTCAGTGTTCACTCATTGTTCTGTGTCTACGTGGCGGTCATTTGAGCTGGTCAGCCTAATGATTCCTTTGTTCCACTCCTTTTTTAGTTGATTTGCCTTTTCTATCTTTCTCTGGTTCCATTTATGTTGATTTCTTCCCGTCTTTGCTCACTGCGTTGTAGATTATTACTCAGCTTCTGCCTTTGTTCTACATTTTTGTTGTGTTTCATATCCTGCTTCACAATCCTCCTGCTATTTGTCAGCTTCCAGAAGTCTGTAGTGAGGCATTCCTTTTCTTGCCTAAGATGTTTTTACAGGTTTCCACTGGTGATGTTGCCTAATTTCTCTGACTTTAATCTGATTACTGCCATGAAGATGTTCATTGTTGCTTCATTCTTTAGTATTTGAGTGTTGAATTTTGAAGTATGGTCTAGTTCCATCTTCTTTGAAGGATTTTAACTTGATCTTGAAGGTTCCTTGCACTAGATGATGGTTAAAGATGAAATCTACTCTTCTTCCCAATTTTGCGTCCAGTAGGCTGCATCTCCACTTTTGTTGAGATTGAGATGTAGTCCATCTACCGAAACTCACATTGCTTGTACACACACACACTCTTTCTCTCTCTAATCACCAAATCATTGGAGTGGCAAAAGTCTACGAAGAATTCTCCGTTCTCATTTACATTAAAATATGATGATTAATATAGATGATTCTGAATCAGAAATCGATTTGGAAATTATGAATATAGGCATCAAGTCAAAATCAAGTATAGTTGACAAATGAAGTTACAGTTTGATCTTCTAGTATTGGTTTGTAGGGATTTGATTGATTGGTTACAGGATTTCATCATGAGCTGACACCGGTTAGAGAACCATTGGAAAACCAGCCGGGAGTACTAGACAGCAGTTTTGGCAGAAGTTAGAATTCATAGGCCATTGGATTGGGTCCCAGTGGCTTAATGATCTATGAGCTCGCCTTGTAACCAAAAGGTCCTGTGTGTGAACCTCTGTAGGTGCGTACTGATGAAGAGTCCCAAATTGGGCTGATGTAAAAGCTGTGTGTCCAGTACTCCCAGCTGGTTTTCCGTCGGTTGTCTAGCCGATGTCAGCATTATGATGAAATCCTGTAACCAATTTGATCTTCTGTTTATATTCCACTGTGAATTTTCTTCTCTGTTTTACGTTTGTGTTCTTTTTTAATTTTTGCGTAGGAGTCCGATTCAGTTGTGATCAATGCGACAAAACATTTTCGCATAAATTCGATCTGAAAATGCATAAATCAACATTTCATGAAGGTAATTTGCTTTTGCTTATTTCAGATTCTCTTTTTTGTTTTCTATTTTTGTTCCATTTCGTTTCTGGAGCACATGGTTTATATTGAAAATGGGAAATATGGTGATATGCTGAACCCTTCACCGTATGATGTCAAATTGTCGACAATCGATATGACTGAGTGAACATATGTGGGGTATAATAATACTGACGACGCAATTGACAACTCAGCTGATATGCTAGATATGCCTTTCTGTCCTTAGTACCCTTTACCTTCGTTTTCACCGAGATACGTAAATATCAAAAGACGAATACTGGCGTGATGTGACTGTTAGGATGCTACTTAATTATGAAAAAAAGCACATTAAAATTTGTCTAGGGCAGTGTGAAATAGATTGTTCTGATTGATAGGATGATTCGACTAAATCCACAGAAAATAAATACTCTCATTGGTTGGCGATTGGTCCAGGACCCCTAGATATGTGAAAGACGATGAGATTTGACTTTAAGGCTAAGGTCATCTGAGCACAAAATGACTATTCAAGTGTTGGTTTGTAGGGATTTGATTGGTTACAGGATTTTCATCATGAGCTGACATTAGTTAGAGAACCATTGGAAAACCTGGGAGTACTGGATAGCTGTTTCGTCCTAGTTTGGGACTCTTCATCAGTATGCACCGATTCCTATTTAAAAGACTTCTAGAAGAAGTGTAAGTGTTCGTAGCGTATTTAGTATTCAAGATGAATACATCTTCCTTCTTCCCATTGGTGACATCATCATTTAGTAGATTCGAGCCGAATAGCCAATGTAGTCACTGGAATCGTCTCATAACCTCGAGGGTCCTTAATTGACTGACTGGTTTCGATGTAAAACACTGTACCGATGTGCGGCATTTCAAGTCGCCACACTTCACTCAGCACACAATGCAAGAGAAGAAAGTAAAAAGAAATGCAAAATAGAGACAGTAAACAGAGATATGAGGTAAAAAGAATAGTAGTATCGAAGAACAATATAGTTTCATTGCGTATTATAAATTACAGGGAGTGTATGCAACTGCACCAGCCATTACCGAGAATGATTTTGAGCCATATCACCAATTGTCTCCAACCTTCATTGGTTTTTACCGTCCTGAGGACCCCAATCAAGAAGTCTACACGGTGTGGGCAGCCGGTAAGTAACAACCGCCCACACACTTCCAATAGCACACGAGGCCCTCCTGAGCATGATTCTCCTTGAAGGTCCTTAGTTGGATTCCTTGAGGATGGAATGTTAGGAGGGCGGACTTTTGAATAGTTCGAAACCAAAATGATGAAACAACTATTCAGTGCTACTTATTTGCCTATGATTCTGGAATTGATGTCAATTTGTGGTGAAATCGAACTATGAGATTATTATTATTATCCTCAAAATCTATCCAGAAAAACGAGTTTTTGTCTCTCTGCCTCTCATTCGTTTGAGTTCCTAGTAGAACATTGGAATTCGAGCTTCGATATTTCAGTAGCGGTGTTGTTTTGAAGAGCTGGAGTTGCGAGACCCACCCCCAACCTAACCTCTTTTCAGGGCTTCCTACTAGCTAGTAGACTAGGTGAAGTTTAGGAGGGTATCGGCGGGGAATTGAACTAAAACTCCTCACCGCGTGACTTGCGATCATTCTACCATTGAACCGCCGATGCATCCGTGCTCGGTTATTGTAACGAGGTGATTATTAAGACTGAAATTAAAGCTTGTATTGAAGCAGATCTGCATTTTAGCCTCAATGACCATTCCACAATAACGAAATATCCTGTACATTATTTTTTTTCTGACTTGATGAACGGAAGTTAAACAAAGAAACATTTGTGTGTGTGTCATTTGGCCTCACGAATATCAGTTTATTAACATCTGAATAATGCTGAATTCTTGTTAAATGGTAACTACAAAACATGCTTAATATTGGACTTCAATCTTCAGAATTTCAGTAGCAGTATTGTTTTTTTTGCGGGGTGGAGTTGCTTGTCTCACTCCCACCCAGCCTTCCCTTATATCCTCCAGTCTTGCTGTCGGCCTTTGGAAATGGTGAGGATCAGCTGCTTGATTAGTGAGCAGTTTACCCGTGAACTGCCGGTGCAAAACAAAGAAGTGCCCCCCCTCCTAAAATTTGGAGCTTTTCAACAGTACGCATCTATGGCTTGTCACCTAACAAAGGTCAGATCCAGGATCTTCAGATTATTGTTTGGGATAAAGTTATTATTATTTATTATTATTATTACCACTGTATGAACAACTCCATTATGGACAAGATTTTATTTTGATAAAATCACACATTGTTGTTATAAAGTAATATTTACTGATGACCACCTTTCGAGCACAAATTATTACTGCTCATAGTCATCATATCAAGGCACTACTCACACAACTTTCTTGCTTCATTTATATACATGAGTAAAAATTGATGGTTAGACATTTGACTAAAATCAGTAATATAAGATAAAGTACATTCAGAAATAATGATACTGGTGTTATCAATAAAATACAATCAGATGGGAAATAAGACGAATGTTTTTATAGTAAAAATAAGTAACTTGTTAGAATGTTATGATTTACGTGAATTGAAATAGAATTTTGAGATTATTTATTATTCTCCTCTGATTTGACTGGTGGTAATAATATCTTCCATTTCTCTGGTATTTGTGTTGAGTCATTTCTGTTGCATGTGTTGGGTGTAGACTCTATGAACCAAGGATTCAGTAATCAAACTCTATCGCGCTCCACCTACCTATATTACTTTTCAGAATTTTGACTCTGTTTCACCCACCCTATTGTGTAGTTGTGTGTTAATGCATGCAGTGCTATTGCTGAGCTTTTTTCTAATAGAAGTGACTCATCATCGCTAATACCAGAGATATGGAAGATATTATTACTGCCAGTCAAATCAGAGGATAATAAATAATGTTAAAATGTATTCAATTCACACATTATAACATTCTAACAAGTTACTTATTTTTTACTATAAAAACATCTTATTTCCCATCTGACTGTATTTCATTGATAACACTAGTATTATTTCCGAATGTACTTTATCTTATATTACTGACTTAGTCAAATATCTAATCATTATTGGTTTGGTAGGGATTTTGTTTAATTGCATGGAGGATTTCATCATGAGCTGACATCAGTTAGAGAACCACTGGAAAACCTGGGAGTACTGGACAACTGTTTCGTCCTAGTTTGGGACTCTTCATCAGTACGCGCCCACCGGGATTCGAACCCAGTGGCTCAATGATCTACGAGCTCGCCTTGTAACCAGAAGGTCCTGGGTTCGAATCCCGGTGGGTGCGTACTGCTGAAGAGTCCCAAACTAGGACGAAACAGCTGTCCAGTACTCCCAGGTTTTCCAGTGGTTCTCTAACTGATGTCAGCTCATGATGAAATCCTCCATACAAATATCTAATTGTCAATTTTCACTCATGTATATAAATGAAGCAAGAAAGTTGTGTGAGTAGTGCCTTGATATGATGACTTTGAGCGGCAATAAATTGTGCTCGAAACGTAGTCATCAGTAAACGTTACTGTATAACAATAATGTGTGATTTTATCCAAACAAAATCTTGTTTATAATGGAGTTGTTCACATAGTGGTAATAATAATAACAATAATAATGATAATAATAATAACCGTATCCCAGAAAATAGTAATCATACAGAATGGAATTTTCGGCGTTACGCAATCAATATCTAGTTACCAGGCAGTGCAAGAGAAGGCTGATAACCGCTTCTTTCTGAACACATATATCGGGTTTCAGGCGCTTGATGGAGATTGCTTCGACAAATTTGAGGAAAATTGAACTCTTTTGCCTACTGGTAATTTTGAACGATCTTGCGAAGTCCACATCATGACTCGTATCAAGAAGATGTCTGGCAATGGCACTGTTGAAAGTATTTGTTCCCTTTAGACATAGGCTTTTGGTACGTGTTCAGAAAATCGGAGGTTTGCCCTTCTTTCTGTTCTTCCAATATTAACTGCTCCCGCAGATACGTGTAAATTTGTAAACACAGTTGGAGTGTTAGCATGAGAAGGGTATCTGTCGACCGTTGATTGTACCAAAGAGCACTCTGTCCGATAAAAGGGAACCAACTTGGCTGTAGGATAGACTCTGGCTAGTGACTTATCCAAATCTCTTTTGATTATTCCTGCAATATTTTCACCTTTAAAATAAAGTTGAATGTAGATGGGCTGTTTTTCCATTGTGATTTGATTGACATTTGAGCCTTCATATCTTCCGTACTTGTTGATTATTACATCAATTCTACAATATAAGTTAATAATATACCTTGTCCTTTTTATTGTGCATACATAGGTTTATACTATCATTGTAATCTTTGTGATAGAAAATTTTCACGGATGTCTCATTTAAGAACTCATCAATTCTCTGTACATGAAGGTAAGCACCAACAGCAGCAGCAGTCATTTTTACGTATTTCTAATTTGTTTTCAATCTGTCCTATCTCTTACTAGTCAGATTATTGATTATTGGAGAAGATTTGTAGCTCTGGTGGATGATTTTGATGTATTTGTGTTCTCTGAACTGGATTGTTTACTTGAGAAGCTTACACATTGCCTTACCAGGCAATAATATCCTCAGCGTATACTTCAATTTGAAGTAGTGAGCTTTTAAATTTCTCTGCAAGTTTATTGGTTATCTATCTCTCCTGGTGGGTGACCTTGAAAGTGATTGGTTGCTTTCGTATGTTTCCACACCCTCTAATCTATTTGTATTGGTATATTGGTATTGGTATTGATTGTTTCGTTGACCTGAAGTTTGGATTTTTATGTATGGGATTTCCTTCTCATGAATTGGTAAATGTTATATCTATGTCAGCGTGTCTGTTAATTGTCGATTTATTTGAATAACAGGCTTCCAAAAGAAATTACCTTACCATACATAAAGGACGCCTTAGAAATCACGCCTTCAACACTCCTCAAACCTTTAGCAATTGATGTCTCACACAAACCAACAAATCCCTTCACTCGGCTATATGTCAACCAAAAGACTCACCAACGAAACCAACATCATCTACGGAATGAATTGCAATGACTGTGGAAAACCCTACATTGACCAAAGTGGAAACTCTCTTTTTCTTCTCATCCACGGACAGCAATTCGACTAGGACAAAGTTCAAATATTAGACAGAGGAAACACCAAGAGAGAATTTTTGGAGGCCTGTTATTCCAGTGAATCAACAATTAACATGCGTATTGACATAGTCAAGATTTACCGGTCCATTAAGAGGAAATCTCGTACATAAAAAATTCAGGTCAACGAAACAATCAATAATAATAACAGTACAAGTAAGCTAGAGGGTATAAAAGCTGAAGAAAGCAACTGATTGCTTTCAAGGTCACCGGGAGAGATGACTTATAAACTTGTGGAGAAATTTGAAAGCTCACTTCAAACTGAATCATGCGCTAAAGATATTGCCTAGTGAGGCAAGAAAGTTTCTCAAGTAAGTGATCCATCTTAGGAGAACACAACTATTCATTCTTTGATATATGAATAAAACTTGTGCACTGTGGTAGAGTATAATTCCATTATGGGTAACATTTATTTTGATAAAGTTTCACAGTGTTATACAGTAATACATTTGATACATATATAATCCTACTCCAAAAATATGTTGGAGATATGTGGAGGACACTTTCACAGTGTTAAAAACAGAACATATCTCTCTCTAGCATCTTGACACACATAAACTCACTAGTGGAGGGAATAAAATTCACATTTTGAATCGGAGGATGAACGCGGAGAATTAGGTATGATGTTAGATTGTAAAATAAAACGAATAGAAGAAGGTAAACTGCACCCTGGCGTTTATAAAAAGCTAACGCATTCTGCTAATAGATATTTAGACTTTAATTCATCCATTACCTACCTGTGAAGGTAGGCTTAGTTAAGTGTCTAAGAAACCGAGCAGTAGCACTAGGTAGTACAAGAAAAGACCGAAACGATGAAATAAAACAGATAGAAGCGGCGTCGGTGTTAAATAACTATCCTATACAATTAATTAGGAATATCAAAAAGGTCAAAAGCAAAATAAAAATAATGGCGACACTAATAATGATAACGAAAATAAGAAAGAATATAAGGCATCTACAGTTGTACCATATAAGGAGGGGAAATCTGAGACACTCCCTATGCAGGATTCTCGATAAAACAGGAATTAGAGTGGCATTTAAACCTACAAACTCACTCAACCAGGGACAAGCTCTGTAGGTTAGGTTACCCAGTTGACCCACTTAGACAAAATAATATAATTTACAAAATACCCTGCAATGACTGTGAGGTCAACTACATAGGTCATAGTAGTAGGTCGGGGTTAGTCTGATTATGGGAACATAAGAATGGTTGACCCGGAGAAGATGAGTAATTTAGAAAATAATTCAGCAATTGCACTGCATGCAATATAAGTAGGTAGAGAGAGAGGTTGATTACTGAATCCTTGTTCATTGAGGAATGACTCATCACTCATACGGGGAATATGGGAAATACTAGTGTGGTGAGAGCTGTCTACTAGCCAAATTGGTAGACAGTAATTTACGTCAATGTTTACGTTCTCAAGATTGGTCGTGAGAAAATTTGAACAAGACTGATTCAAAAACCGACCACAGCAGACTTTGCGTAGCCGGATGCAGTTAACATATAGATGATCTGACATTCAAGAAACAGTCACAAAGAGATGAAAGATTAACTTTAAGTGAGAAAAAAACCAATCAGAAGACTGTGTTTGTTTGCTTAAATAATCTATAATAATGTACATGAAAATATATAAATATGCTTTGATTTCCTTAATAAACGATCTGTTGCCTGGCCCTTGTCTTCTGTTGTTACACTAGTACCAATCAAGTCAAGCGATGAAAAATAATGGAATTATATAAGCGAAGTTAGAAAGTTGTGTGAATAGTGCCTTGAAATGATTACGAGCAATGAATTGTGCTCGAAAGGTGGTCATCAGTAAATATTACTGTATAACAACACTGTGAGACTTTATCAAAATAAATTTTACCCATCATGGAAGTGTTCATTCTTTGCCTTGAGAGTAAAATGTCATGTCTTAGTGGCACATGTGCATTGTACTCTATTTTCTGAGGTTATTTTCAATTATCACCTTCGGAATGAAACGCAGCTTGTTGCTCCCCAGTCTTTTTCCACTCGAGGGTTGAACAGGCACGTCATGACACTTGAATTTGTCTCTTAAATATGTGTCAAATGCGCGTACTTTCGCTTCCTTGTACATATTTCCGAGTTGGACGATATCTTATCAGTTGGGAAACAAGGCATGGAAACCCCATACATGCACTCACTTAGAAACAAATTGTTTCGGTTAAGTGATCCTTTGAAGTCTATCTAATACCTTGCAATGATTGTAAGGCCAAAGTAGTAGAACCTGAGTCAATTAGATTAGCGGAGCACGAAAACCTAGCAGAAAGTCTAGATTAGTTGGCTGTAACCAGATAAGAAATCTAGAAAATATGTCAGCCATAGCTTTTCGTGCGATAACACAGGACTATGCAACAGGATGGGAAAAGGTGGCACTCTTAAAATCTAATATAACTAACAAGTTGTAAGGAGAGAGAGAGAGAGAGTGATAACTGAAGCGTTATTTTTGAAAGACGACTCTTCTAGAGCTACGTGACTTGAGTTCACCACTAAGTGCTCGAGAATTGAGCTAGTAACCATACGGGACAATGTTCAGAGGTGCGTTTGAAAAGTGTGCGCTCTGTGCGGCCAATATAAAAGAAATGCGTTTAGAGCGCATCTTTGAAGATTATCCGGCATGGTTAGCAAAAGGACAATGCAAGACAGTTACTAGCTCAATTCTCGAGCACTTGGCGGTGACCTCAAGTCGCATAGCTTCACCAGAGTCGTCTTTCAAGATCAGCTATAAGGTGAGGCCAAATGGTACAAAGGGTGTCAGGTTTCGGCATTTATGTATGGCGGAGGCGTTGGCAATTCGTCAGTAGAACCCCGAACTCTATACAGAGAAAGTGTGAAGTCTTATTTATCGGATCAACTGAGAATATGTGCAGTAGATGTGATGCAGTATCTGTCCCGCACATTGGAATAATTCTACTACTCTTCGGACAGATGGGAAGGAAGAAAAAGAATTATGAAAATTGTATTTCAAAGTTGTATAGTTACAATGGACGATGTGATTATGAACGATAAGTTGTGTTCGAAAGTTCGTCATCCATTACCTATGGGGGATTTGATTTGTTTCAAGTTTGATCACTGGTAGACCCCAGCTATAGACAGCTGTCTTGTGCTAGTTTGGGACTGTTCAGCCTTACGCACCCACATGGGGTTCGAAATCAGGACCTTCTGGTTACAAGGCTACCTCGTATACCCTTTACCCATTAGGACCCGATCCACTAGCCCATGGATTCCAACTTCTACCAATTCATGATTTTAGCGTGACCACCAGTCAATTTCATCGGCGGGTATTTTTTTTTCACTTCCTACCTGGTGGGCCCCACTGGTCACGATTTCTCACTAGAACTCCAGACAACTTCACCCTTTAGCCAGCCAGTCACTAGCGAGCTGTTTCATGTTAGTTCGGGACTATTCATCAGTACGAACTCATGACTAGCCACACCAGGAGTCGAACCGAGGACCTTCAGGTTATGAAGTGATCCACTTGACCTTTCAGCTATTCAGACAGGAAGAATAACCTGTCTATGAATTCTAACTCCTGACAACTCGCGACATATAGTGCAACCGCCAGTCTCTGTCATCGGTGAGCATCTCTCCTCCCTTCCCTGAAGAAGTTCAAACTTTTTTTCTTTACGAAACATCTCAATAGATGTCGCTGAGGTTTTTATTCATTACTATTATTATTCATCCCTTCCATACGGCATTGAACGCAGGGCTTCAGTAGGACATCCCTATGGCTTCACGACTGCTCGCAGGATTTTATTTCTTTATTCGCACAAAATCTCCTCCATGTCAACCTGAAAGCAATGTAGAACTTGTTGCTCGCTTCCCGTTCAGGTCCTCCCACTTGAGGGCCTCACTCAGATTTCTACATATATACAGAATATTTTTAAGTATTATGTTCTTTATCAATCCGTGATCAACTCATAAAAACATAACTAAACCTTACAAACCAAACTATAGAAAATCAATTTTGATGCTCGCCAGTGACTTGCTACAGGATGGAGTTTCCTGGAGTTCTAGTGAGAAGTCGTGACCAGTGAGGTTCAACCAGATGTCATGTATGAGAATGGATGTCCCACAAACGACATTGGTTGGTGCCAGTCACACTAAATCACGAATTGGTAGAAGTTAGAATTCATGCGCTGGCTGGTCATTGAATCGGTTCCCAGTGGCTGAATGGTATTCGAGCTTGCCTTGTAACCGGAAGGTCCTGGGTTCGAATCCCAGTGGGTGCATACTGCCTATGATTCTCAAACTAAGATGAAACAGCAGCTGTCCAGTACTTTCTGATTGGTTTTCAATGGTTCTCTAACTGATATCAATCCGTTATCAACTTGTAAAAACATAACTAACCCTTACAAACCAAACTATAGAAAATATTTTCTTATTGTTTTTGTATTACAGTATCAACTTACTCCTCACGAATACGCCTATTACCTCAATCTGATAAAGTATCCTTATCAAAAGAAGAAGAAAATTCAATGGAATATATCTACAGAAGTAAGTCAGAAATCAAAGTGAATTAATCTTGTAATATTATCGAAGTTTTGTACATTATCGATATAGATATCAAGGTGGTGAAAATCTTATCCCTTCAAAATGTAGTGGGTTTTTATCAAAGTTATTTATCATATTTTAGTTAAACAGTTGACCAGCACTCTGCGGTTTCCAATGGTTCCCTAACTGGATCAAATGCTTGCAAACCTAAACACACTTGAACATCACTCTACTTGTCACCAGTGACCAACTACAGAATGATGGGCTGGAAAAGACTGACTGTTTGACAGACTGGTTTCAGCGTGGAACTTTGCACAGATGTGTAGCAGTTCCAGTTGCCACAGTCACTCTATGTAGCACACAAAGCAAGAGAAGAGAGTAAGGAAAGATTCAAAAGAGAGATAAACGGAAATTAAGAACACAATATTCAGCGAAGGGACTCTTTTCAACGAATTTATTATCAAGCTGTACAACGTATATATATATATATATATATATATATGGTTTTTAAGAAGTTATATCTGGTGAGGGAATTAGGTCAAAGGTGTGAATACATGAAATAATAATAGTATGAAATGAAATTAAAATGTTTGTGATTATAATCATAGTTTAATGTCAAGTGGCAAAACAATTAATGTCGTATATAGTATAATACATAAGGTGAGTAGATTTTGGAAAGGGGTACATATTTATAAAATTAGTAGACGAATATAAAATGTTACATAACATGGTGTGAAATTTGATAAGATAGAATTCAATATTGTGAAAATAAAATTATAAAAATGAATAATTTTGGGTTTAAAATGTCAAGTGGGTCAAGTGGAAAAGATTCAGAGTGAGAATAGTAATAATAATAATCGTAGTAATAAGGGAAGAGTACATAGAATAACTAAATAAACAAAATAAATAAATGTCTATCCCTCTACGGCCAAGGCAGAAGCAGAGATTGTACATACTTCTTTTGTAAACAAAGGTCTGGTTGGCTTAAATTCACGAATTGTCAAGGCCTCAGCTGTCTTTAGAAGTCTGTAACGAAGAAAACGCGGTGAGTTAGCATGGATTCAATATATGATCTTAAAATCATGATCAGGGTTGACAGAGTGACAGAAGTTGATCAGGTGTTCCAAAATAGAGCTTCGCACACACTTCCTTTATTATTTCATGTATTCACACCTTTGACCTAATTCCCTCACCGGATATAATTTCTTCATAAAAAAACCATATATATACGATTGTACAGCTTGATAATAAATTCGTTGAAAAGAGTCTCTTCACTGAATATTGTGTTCTTAATGCGACAATGGGAATTATTAAATTTTATAAACGGAAATGTGAGGCGAAACGAATAGTAATATGGAATAACAATAGAATTTTATTGGATATTGTATATAATAATAATAATAATTTTTGCTTTATTCCAAAAACAGTATTAATGATACAGCAAGGAATTTTCAGCATTCAGTACAGTATTGCATCTAATTTACTCAAAAACGACAACAACAAACAAAAAAAAATAGATAAACGGAATAATTAATACATAATAATGATAACAAAACGTTTTTATAGGAGCTATGTAGCAATTACAGTATAGGATAAGGAGAAAAATATAAAATTATAGTAATAATAGTAATAACAACTAAAATAATAATAGCAAAGTTATAATTAAACGATAGAAAGGGTGACACCATAGAATTACAGAAAGATGAACAATGAAAGGGTCGATTCACTATGCTAATTACATAGTAACTTATATGTTTCACGTCTAACAGTGTCTTCATCACATAAAATACGGGCTAAGTACGGTATTGTAGAATTTTTGTACTTAGTGGTTCGACCAAATAACTTTTTATATTGATTTCTCGTCCTACCTGATGAGGTACAAGGGGATAGTTGTGAATAAAGGGGTTGCAGAGGGTCTGACAGTACAGCCTTTGCCCATTTTGTACAAGAATTTATGTGTCTCTCGACTATAGTATTGGCGAGCTCACGCAGTGGCAAACCACAAGCTCTACTCACGGCATTTAATACCCTTCGTAATGTGATATAGTCTTTTTTGAGAAGCCCAGGAAAGATTAATGGGGAGCAATAGAGTGCGATAGGTAAAATACAGTAGTTTAAAAATCGCAGAACTAAAGGTTGGCTGATACCTTGTCGTCTTAACTTTTTAATGTAGAAGGTAAGACGAAACATTTTCTTAGAGACCAATAAAATGTGAGATGACCATGAAAGGTCCGAGGAAAGACTAATCCAAGGTATTTAATGCTTGATTTGGTTTCGATTTCTGTACCATCTATGCTACAGGCATCATGGGAACTAACTAGTTCATGTATGTCACGTCGATGGTTGAAGGTAAAGTTAACTGCCTGACATTTGGAAGGATTTAACATAAGACCATTTGACTTAGACCACATGCTGATATCCAACAGAAAGCTATTAAGTTTGGAGCAGTCAGACTCAGAAGTGATAGGCAGTGATACAGTCAGATCATCAGCATATTTGACAAAATTGGTTTCGTTTAAATGTGGCAGGTCATGTAAGAAGAAAGAAAAAAGAAAGGGAGAGAGGATGGCACCTTGAGGAACACCGGCTTTTGTAAGCAAAGCAGAAGAAGATTTGCCATTATATGCAGTATACTGCATTCTATCAGAAAAATAAGAATGCAACCAACTCTTAGCCCAGGATGCTGTGTGCGTCAAGGAGAGCTTATTTAATAAAAGGCCCCTAGGTACAGAGTCAAACGCAGATGTGTAGTCTAGGAAAGCACCACGAACATATTTGGCACCTTTGTCTAAACAAGAAACAACATTATGATATAAGACAACCGCAGCATCCAAGGTACTTCTACCATGTTTATATGCAAATTGCTTAGGGTCATTAAAAGCTTTCAATGAAGGTTCAAGACGAAGTAAAAGTAGTTTTTCCATCAATTTTAAAAAAGGAGAAGTAATTGCAATAGGCCTAAATTTACTATCGGTACCAGAAGATTGTTTTGGTATAGGGACAATTTTAATGTTTTTCCATGCAGAAGGTAGAACATTACTGGAAAAGGAAGCATTAAAAATATTAGTAAGAGGGTAACACAAAATATCAGCACAGTTCCTGAGGACAATGGCAGGTACGCCATCAGGACCAAGGCTTTGGGAAGGCTTAAGAGAACGGAGACATTTAAGCACATCAAGGGTATTAAGACCATTAAAATTATTGTCTATGTGATTTGTATCATTAGGAAGGATATCGTCAGAGGAGCGTATGAAAGACTTATTAAGATTATTAACATTAAGAGATTGTACAGAATTACACCGCTTACCGCTAGTTATTTCTTTAAAAAGTTTCCATAAACTAGAAGGGCTTTTACATGACAAAAATCTTTGGTTGTATAAAACATTTAGTCTGTGCATTTCGAGTTTTATCAGAGGATTTAGCTTTTTTACACCTGACTTATCATTTGTTTTGAACAACAGTTCTTTATCTCTACGGAGCTTTTTGAGATATGGAGAAGAGAAACGGTCAAAACGAGTGAATAATGTTTCTTTAGGACAACATATTTCCAAACAGAATTTAAGATAATCTGTGGTGTTTGTGATTGTGTCATTTAATGTTTGTTCTGTAAATAGGTCCCAGTTAGTATCTATCAACATGCATCTGAGTTTGCTTAGATTATCTTGTGAGTAGCATCTCCGTTGAAATTTACTGTAGAGGTGAGAGAAGACACGTTTGTGTGATTTGGAATATATTTTAGGCAGTACACGTATGATGCAGTGGTCAGAGTTCAATACAGGAGCACGTTTGCGAGCTTCATATATACCAACATCATTGATGAATACTAGATCTAGTGTTTTTTCGAGACGGGTAGCAAAGTTAACAATATTGTCATGGCCAAGTGATATAAGGAAGGAGTGATCACAAGAGTTAAAATCGCCAGTCACTATTGATAAAGAGTTCTCGAAACAAGGAGTGGATGCATTTCCTCCGACCATTGAGAACGATTTTCAACCAAATCGCCAGACACTCCGTCCTTTATTCAGCCACTAATCGGTATTAGAGTGATTGTCAAGCGTATGTTTACGAGGATTTAATTTATTTCTAGTAAGATCACAAACTGAGGTATTTAGGCTCAGTTCGTGACCTTACTTTGAATCTAGAACAACACATTTAAGCGAACAATATTGTTTTCAATTAGATCTCATCAGGCTTAACTCTAATGTATATAAGTTTACAAATAAAATTCAAATATATACCAATCATGGCGTTTTGTCTATAGGATAATACGATGATGAATATAAATTGTGCAATTAGTCATAATAGTAGCAATGATAATAATAATAATAACGGTCTTATCAATAATAAGAATGAAAAAGTGAGGCAATCTGTGGCTGTACTTTGAATCAACCGAATCCCTGTGGACTAGCACGCGAAAAGTAATGTTTAAATTTCTGTTTAGTTTCAAACATTTGATTTCAATCGCTTCAGCAACTCGTAGTGAAATTGCTGTCCTTTGTGTATGTTCAATGTTTTGAAGGATTTGAAAATCTCGATGGAATGATCCGTATCCACAGTGTGTCTGGTAGGTGCACTTTCTGAATATCTGCTTCCTTTCAGATGCAAGTTTCTTGAGATATGCTCAGTAAACCGGATGAAAGGCCTTCTTCCTGTCCTCGCTTCCGCGAACGCACGTGAATTTGTAAACACAGTTGGAGGTGACATCAGCAGGATGGTTATCCAGATTAGATTGGCTTATAGAGCATGTGCTGCTGTATAGAGTTATGAGCTTAGCTGCAGGGAAGCATCTTTTAATTGCTCCTTTCATTCGCTTGCCAATCTTTTATTATGATACTGCTTCTCCTTTGAATAAGAAGCAAATGAACGCTTTCTTCTTTCTAACAGTTGGGTTTTTCTTTTGAATAAATCCCTTCTGGATACTTATATTCCCCTAGGCATTTCTCAGCAAAGCCTAATTCTTCTTCCATCTGGTTAGGCGAACACAGATTTCTGGATTTCTCTTACAGTGTCCTTACTAATCCACGCTTACAGCTTATAGGACAGAAGTTGTTATAGGGAAGGTCCAAGTCTCTTTTCTATAGATTGACTTTTCAACCGTACCATCGTTCCTTCTTCTAACATTAACTTCCAGGGTGTTGAACGTTCGAGTAGATCTCATTGAGATGGTCAAATAAGGAAGATTTGTGTCGTTACAAACAACAAAAAACGCATCATTGACATACTGGTGATATTAGATTATTTCATTGATAGCAATTTCTTCTACATATATCATGGTAACCCCATTTATTGATTCAATTTTCCTTGTTTAAACTCTAAAATGTACTTACACAAGCACAGTGTTAATCTTCCTTTCTGTTTTTGTTTTCATTTTTCTTCTTATTGCAGAGAAATTCAGGTGCAATCAGTGTCAAATGTGTTTTAAACGGAATTATCAGCTCAAATTGCATAGCAAACTATTTCATGGTGAGTAATAAGTAGTACTTGTGAGAGTGTACCTTTGGCTTTGTGATATCTGAAATTCTTTTCTTTTCATGCGTTCTTAGTGGAACATATAAGACTGTGATCTATCAGGTTTTCACTAGCAAATGGTGTTTTTTTTAAATTGAGCTCTCATAGTGAAGAATATAGAAAGATTGAGCGAAGAAATACTTACTTTTCAATTAGATCCTCATCTCCATCTGGCTCTATTCTAATATACACGTACAGCATTTTATTACAATACACAAGTTTACCAAACAAGTGGCACTGATATGTTTGTTAACAATAATTAGTCAGTGTCAAAATGTCAATGGGTTGATAATTAACGAAGAAAATCAACACACATTTAAAAGGTAGAAATGGTTAGAATAAATTAATTTTACAAGGATAACACATAATTAAAGATGAAGTGGTCAAAATAAATATAAATAAAATAATTTGGACAATTATAATTTTTATAATTTTTAAAGGTTTAGGTGGAGGGGGGCGAAGTAGTCCGTTTCATACATTCATGTAACGATGGCCAAGGCAAGGAAAGTGGCTATACAAATTTCTTCTGAACACATAGGCTTAGCTTCTTCTTCAGGTGGATTCCGATTGCCTCATCTGTCTGTAGAAGACGAACTCTTAGAGCAAAGTTAAGATTAGTCGGAATGCCATAGATAATTTTAAATGCAGTATTAACATAAACTTTGTGCTCAGTATCTACAAGGTGTGCTAAAATAGAGCTACGAATAGATCTTGTTTGTCCTCCCTTGCTTAACCATGTTGGATGATGTTCGGAAATACGATGATGAACCTGCCTAATTGTACGCCCAATGTAGCTAGCTCCGCAGATGCAGTCAAACTGGTAGATACACATAGAAAAGGCAAATTTAGGTAGTTTGTCCTTATTTCTCGAACGTATAAACCGGAATACTTCACCCTTCTCCCCCTTAAACCTTTAAAAATTACAAAAATTATAATTGTCCAAATTATTTTATTTTTATTTATTTTGACCATATCATCTCTAATTACGTGTTATCCTTGTAAAATTAATTTATTCTAACCATTTCTACCTTTGAATTGTGTGTATTGATTTTCTTCGTTAATTATCAACCCATTGACATGTTGACACTGACTAATTATTGTTAACAAACATATCAGTGCCACTTGATTGGTAAATTGTTGTGTATTGTAATAAAAATGCTACACAGAATATATTAGAGTAGAACCAGATGGAGATGAGGATCTAATTGAAAAGTAAATATTTCTTCGCTCAATCTTTCTGTTTTCTAAACGTCTAAATGTGATTTTTTCATAGTAAAGACGCGGAAATATTGATCCAGCGGTTCTCTTAACCTCCCTTCTCTTCGGAGCGAGGATTAGGAATCCGTCAGCTGCGAGTTGAACCCAGACCTCCGTTATATATATGCCTAATTTTTCCTATATATATATATATATATATATATATATATATATATATATATAGATGTATATATATTTTTACAGTACAATGATGCCTGTATGACAATTGAGCCCTTTTGGTGGTTAACTGTTTTAACTTATCAAGTGGGGACCATTTAAACTAAGGCAATTTAAGCTTATGTATAGAATAGCTATCAAGTTCTCTCGTGCGTCGTACGTCAGTTATATCGTGATGTAGTGGTTGTCGTTGTGAATAGTACTTAAAACAGTAAGCTCGCAAATCTAAATAGCTAGGAAGTTCGTTAACGCAAGAGACTTGTAAACTGCCAGGTTGTATTTGATGGTCATATCAACCTCCCAGGTATTTGGCGGACATTCTACAATCGAACCGCCAACTCATAAACCGTCTCCTAGATTTGAAATCGAACTCCAACCTTTTATACGTGGCAGCCGGAGGTAATCACCAGTAATATAGTCAAGGAGGATATTAAGTTTTAATTTATTTCTACATGTTCTCCAAGTAACTCAAAGTTTATATAATGAACATAGAGGAAGCAGAGGTGGTGATTAAGAAACCTGATTGCAAAAAGTAATCAATATAAACAGAAGAAATTCAGAGAAAATTGTCTCTTTCACTCACCCAGCCTGAACAGCTGCCCACTTTCCACCATACTGTGAAGATCAGATGATCAAACGGAAACAATAAAGGATAAGGAACTCCGCCGAGCAACGAAAGAACCTAACAAATATTCAGAACAATATGTCAAGTGGATACATTGGACATACACTGAGAGAAGACGTTCAAGTTACCTCATACGCTATTCAAGCCCTCGAAGGAATCCCGGATGGAAAGCGATGACTTGGGTGTCGCTTCAAAAGGGGCATGGAATACATCATATGACGGAGAACTGAAGACGTTTCGTCAGTCATGAAGGCAGTTTTAAGCGATGGCAGAAAATGGAGTGAATTGGTTTGTTACAGGATTTCATCATGAGTTGAAATCGGTTAGAGAACCACTAGAAATCCTGGGAGTACTGGACAGCGGCCTCGTCCTAGTCTGTGACTCTTCAGCAGTACCCGCCCACCTTATTGTGAGCCCAAGACCTTCTGGTTACAACGCTAGCGAGCTCGTAGACCATTAAGCCACTGAGACCCTGTTCAATAGCCCATGAATGGAGTGGAGTGCAATGGAGATGTGCCACTGAAGCCTTATGTTTCACTCGGAAGGTGAGGAACGAATAATAATAGTAATAATGATATATAGTACATAGACACTTGATCGTCTCCCATTTACCTTCTTCATATTTTGTTTTAGGTAAACGTTATCGTTGTCATAAATGTGGAAGAATGTATGAATTTTATGGTTATCTTAAAAAGCATTTATTATTCTCACATAAAAGTAAGTGGGGGAACTGTTTGTTTCATAATGCGTTGTGTATTTTCTTACTTATATATGTATCTATACATTACAAATCCAATATTGTACTCAATTGGTGGATGATGACTAGCAGTGGGATCCAGGATGTGGATTTCATCCTATTTGGGACTCGTCGGATGGATGTACCTGTATTCCCCAGAGAGTAACAGTGTTCCCATCGAGACTCGAACCCAGTACCTGTCTGTCTGTCTGTTTTCGACATAGATCTTTGCACATATGTGCGGCAGTTCAAGTCGCCACACTCCATGTACCACACAAAGGAAGAGAAGAAAGTAGGAGAAATGCATAATATAGACAGTGAGCAGAGGTGTGATAAAAAGGTATAGTAATAACGAAGAACAAAACAGTTTAATTGGAGATCATAATTCACAAGGAGTGGATGCATCTGCTCCATTGAGAACGATGACTTTGAGCCATGTCACCAATTGTTTCCAACCATTAGTTTTTACCATCCCGAGGACCCCAACCTGGAAGTCTACACCTTCCTGTACCTGTAGTCTGAAACGCCAAGGCGTTATCCACCATACCACTTGGGCGACGAAGCATCTGTGCAAGGAGACAACATTTTCAACCTGAGACCGAGCTCTACGATCCAATCAATCGATGAGACCCGTTGCACAAGAAAGAGGTGGCTCTCATAGCCCAAATAGTCTATTAGATAATGCTTTGGCATTTGAAACTACAGGTACTGGATTTTAGCCTCAATGGGGACACCATTACTCATTGGGGAATGCAGGTATGTATCCAGCCGGCGAGTCCCAAATAGGATGAAAGGCACATCCTGGATTCCACTGCCAGTCACCATTCACCAATTGACTTCAAGGCACATGATCAGACGTCGTCTCAGCATCTGCACAAGGAGCCAACATATCAACCTGAGGCAGAGCACTTCGGTCCAATCAATCTATGGGAAAATCTAAATTGTATTGTTCAGAGTATTATTGTTATTATACCCGTCTCGATCTCATAGCTCAGTTGTTGGTATCGCTCTAGATTGTTGCGAAGTAGATTTTGTCGCTAGCTGGATAATGGTTTAGTGTTGTCGAAAGCTCAATGATAGGGCGCTTGTCAGCTATGTGGAATATCCGGCTAACGCACTCCAAAACCTCATCTAGTTTACTGGTCGCTAATAAGACCAGAAAAGAGAGAAAAGGTTGTGATATATGTGGCTAACAACCTCCCTACTTAAAGACATCATCGCTACTGAAACTTCAAAGCTGAACCTTGAAGCTCTGTGTTCTACTTGTCACTCAAGTAATAAAGAAATATACGCGTTCCGTAGTAGTAGTAGTAGTAGTAGTATGTAGTATAGAAGTGGAAGATGTGGTTTCCATCAATGTATGCTTGAATGTGTGTGCGTATGGTGTATAGTAAATCGTCCGTAAAAGGCATCCAGTGGTTTGAGGTAGATTGTGTAAAGTTCAGAAGTACTTTAATAAGACTGAAGTTTTTGAATCAGGTGTTGTACAAATGGATGTTCTGTAAATCTTTTATGAGATCAGCATTATTACTTTTATTTTTAAAACACAAACTTTGGTACACTATTGGCACCAAGAGACGCACCACACAAAATCCCATAGTTTATACGATTGCTGACATACTGCTCGTACAGCCAGATCAAAGTAGATGGTTGTCTTAACAGCCGTTGACTTGAAGTCCAATCCACGAAATAGTGGAGCAACGTTCCCATGGTTTCTAGTGACCGAAATAGCTTCATACGACATTGGATCCTTTTAAATTCAGGAGCTCATGTGCACAATAAGTTGTTTGGAATCAAGGTTTTTCAGTCATCTTTGGTGGACCTGCATGTTCATCAGTCTGTTTCGCCTTCTCCTTTTTCAAGGGACGCTTCCACTTGGTGAAGACAGTGACTAGGAATTACATGGCAGAGGCCATGAATGTGTGTCCACTTGAGGTCATTTTATGAGGAAACCCTCGGTCTAGACACCATCGACTAGGTCGTTCACGGAAGCAGTGAGGTTAGTATGGATATGGTTAAATTTTAGTCCAAGTAAATACTGCTAGAGGTCTCCGATAAATTATCCAAATTTAGGTTGAAACTATTTTGAAGAATATAGTTTCCCTTGTTGTGGAGTCTGATTATAATGTATGTGGGTTTCTTTCGCATTACTTTTGCACTCCAAGTGGATCATAGGGATTCAAAATTGAAGCTTTGAAGTTTCAGTACCAGTGAGGTGTTGTCCCATCTTGTAGGTTGGGGTTTTGTAGCATGATTCCCAACCTTACATCTCTCCAGGACTTTCCTGCGGTTAAGCGAGGTTTTGAAATAGGTAGGCCAGAATTTTAAACCCGGACCAAATACTTGTTTGGTGATTACCATAATTGGTATAATGCAAAAATGGTGGCATTGATTGACATATGTATTTATTCATACTCTATTTTCATTCCATGCTGCATAGACGAGTTAACAGCGTCTCGCTGTTCACCTCTTGTTCTAGGGTTTGTGTTTTACGCTTACTCAAAATGCTGTGATTATTTAAATTTATTTACCACTGGCATATTATATGTAATATGACATCACGGATTGATGTTAATTGGCTAACCATTGAAAAACAGCAGGAAGTACTGGACAGTTGTTTCGTCGTCAATCGAGACTCTTCATCTGTAGACACCCACGGTTCTACGAGGAGTGGGATCTAGGGCGAGGCCAAACTGACACGAAACAGCTGTTCCGTACTTCTTGAATTTCAATAGTTGCCTAAGTGATGTCATTCTGTGGTCAAACTTTGAACCTATGTTCTACTTTTTATGACACTGCTTGGTCCACTGGTGTGGAGAATTGTCGTTTATCCAACTGGCTGATCTAGTAACGTAGAATTCTGCACAGAAATGCACTAGTTCAAGCTGTCATACTTAGGAAGAAAATCTACTGAAACAGCAAGGATAAAAGTGTACTGCAGGGGAAATAATTTGATAAAGTCTAGTGAGGCTTTTTACTGTTTAGATAGTAACAACTACTACTTGAATATGTCTACAACACTGTGAAACGGTTTTAAACTCTGCCAGCCATTCTATCTCAAACTTATTGATTCTTATCATTTCGAGATCCCTCAGACAGACAGTTTACATCTTTCTATGTGTTTCTAGCAAATCGTTGAGGATTTCATGAATTGGTGCTGTTTCACCCCCCCCCCCCTTTTCAAACGTAACTAACATTTCTCATCGAAGAGAGTAGTTCTTGTCATGCGTAACATGTCTAAGAGCCATCTCAGTCGATGCAGCTTCACAACCTCATCGATTAACTTCTCATCACCCAAGACTCTACACCTTACCTCAGTCCTTACACTATTATATGTTATACATGGAAGATAGAACGCAAACACAGGTGGTCAAAGACATCTAACCAGTCTTTTCATATCATCTACTTTTAATGGCCACGTATCACAGGTACAAAGGAGAATAGAGTGAACTGCTGCTCAAATACATACATCCTCTGATCGATAGCCGAATATTATCATGTGTACGCCAAAGATGACGCAAGTTGGCGAATTCCATACAAACCCTTTTTTGATGACGACTTCATTCCTAGTCTCTAGGCGAGGAGATGGTGTAGTTTAGTCCTGCGGCATCTTATCTTCTATTTGACAGGAGTGAATCGTATACTAAACATTCCAAGATTTATACCAAAAGTGTTCAGCTTCTCAGTGTCTTCACCTTGGAGGACAGTATTCATCTTCATACTCGATGTAGACAAGACTGTCTTCTGGTAAAACGTCAACCTCCAAGTCGATAAACTAAATTAGGGTCGATTCCACTAGTGACATTTATGATGAAACTAAACTAAAACTGGAACAATGCGCATCCAATCCCTGATGAACACCATGGACTGTCATCATCATTTTAGATGATAACTCTTTTGTAAGCTCTTCCCTGAGTAGAGCGTCTTGGTTAGTGCAGCACTCCTTTCAACATCAATCACTGTCACAGCGCCTCTCAGTCAACAGAGTTGAATTCCGCCATCAGGTCAAGGACTTTTAGCGAGTGTTGGATATCGGTAAGTTTACCTATGTTCCAAAATCTTTCAGTCAGTCTTCTCTTATCTCCCACCTTCAACGGTCATGTCACACAGCCATAAAGGATGATAGAGTGAACTACCGCTAAGTACACAAGTTGCTTAATCGAATTGACGAATTCCACACAAGCCCTGTCTTTAAACAAGAAGTTGGTATATATTTCAGTCCTACAACATTATCTTATATTTGCCAAACATTCAAAGATTTCTACTCAAGGTGTTCAGAAAACTGTGTGTTTTATCAGTGTCTCCACCTGGAAGGACAACATCACCTGCATACACTAAGTCGACAAGACTACTTGATAACAAATCAACCCCTAACTCGCTAAAGTCAATTCTGTTACTGACATCAATTATGAAATTAAATAAAAAAGGAAGACAATGGGCACCCCATCCCTTATGAACACCACTGATTGTCATCGTTATATTTCAGGTGATAACTCTCTGTAAGCCAGCTCCTTACATCGCTGTATAATTTCGAGTCTAAGCGCATTGATTAGTGCAATATTAATATACTTTCTTGGTACTCATTTCACTGTCAAAACACTACCACAGCGCCTTCGTATTGATAGTGTCAAAAAGTGCAGCAAGTGTTTTTTGAAAGCTAGTAAGTACACCTAAACTCTTTCTAAAATCTTTCTTTTTCTTCTAAAACATGAATTTGGTTACTAAAGTACGTCATAATAACATTGATATCATCGCTTATTTGTCATTTTTTAGATCTATGCAGCCTACAATTATCATAATGTTGGAGAGTATTCATCACTTGTAACTTACACAATTCGTTATGCATTATTGCATGTATGTGTGTATGTATATATAGACAGAGTTGTAATCAACATGTAGAATTATTTCGATTACTTGTACTGGTAATTCTTTAAATATATACCATTTGATTATGTAATTACTGTCTACGTATATATATGGGTGTATTTGACTCTCTGTCTCTTTCTCGCCTTCCCCCTCTCACTGGCTCAATCGAAATGTACTATCGAGAGATGTTAATGATGTAAAAGTCAGAAACAAAAAATATTGTTCATATTTGTGCATGCATATATTTTATTGATTTATTCATTGATTTGTTTCGATTTCTTCCATTCATTATTGCATTTGTGTGCTCACTTACACAAAGGCTTCATCATCTTCTTCTTCTCCTATTTTGTATTTACTTTTGTCTTCTGCATTTCATGTTTTTTTATGTCATACTAATCGATAATATTAATATAATATTAGTGATAATAATATTAATAATAATAATATTAGTAACGGTTGCTAATCTGTACACAGTTCTGTCAATATTTCTATGAAGAATTTAAATCCTTTTCGTGTTTATTTGTTTTTCCTTGTATCTAAATAAATTGCATGTGTGTGTTTAAGTGGTTCTATTTTTTTTAGTGGTAATGACGGACTAACAGACGAATCCAGAATGCATATTTTTGTCCTGTTTGCCAATCGTCAGCTATTGACCATTAACGTGCTTTGAAGCGTCTGTGCTAGAGGCTGTCGACGTCTCAACAGAGACCAGGTATCTTCTTAGTCCAGCGTGAGATCAATCGAACGGGTGGAAATTGAAATCAACCTAAAAAGTGATATCCGTTGCATTAGATTAGATGATGATCATTTGATGTTCACGACGATTGGTACAAGGTTTAGGTATCAGCGGGAATTTTTTTATTTTATTTCCTTCACGTTCCCCAGTGGAACATAGGGCTTCAGGCTAGTGGCTTGAAGTTTCTGTAGCAGTGCCTTTTTTACAGGATGGAGTTGCTAGCCTCATGCCCAACCTTCCCTCTTCACCAGCATTATTTCTGGCTTAGCGAGGTAAAGGAGTGCGTCGGCCGTGGATTGAACCCCGGACCATGTGCATGGTCGGCGAGCATCCTAACCACTATGCCACCGACGCACACAGCGGGAATACTACTACGATTTATCGAGAACGCAGGACACTGCCAACCAAAATAACTTCTCCTTAAATATAGTAGAAACGTCCTCACTAGGTGCTGATATATATCAACAAAGACTGAGCTCAGAAAGACCATCTTGCCGTATGATCTCCATCTCACTGTTGGATGTTCAACTCATCGCTTCGCATTGAGGTCCCACTCTCTGGTCTAGCTGTATGATATCACCCGGAGTATGTCTAGTCAGTCTCCTTTTCCTTTTGCATATTTGGTGGACAATAGGTACTTGGTTGATTCATTGCCAGAGGTTCTTTGTAGAGTAATCCTTTCCAGTCTGATCCGGTCTGATCTTCCAGTATCAACTGACCAAAGTGGGCAGTTGTTGATGAAAGTCCTCAGTGGAGACTGTCGGAAATGGTCAGCGTGACGCCCATGCGAAGACTCTGAAACATAGACAAAAGCACTAACTAACTTGACATTAGAAATAGACCTAAACAGCGAAGACATTTTTTCCTTTTCGACGATTCATTTTCATAACCTGTACAATCGTAATTATATTTAATAAAGTTACGTAATGTGAGGTGTAACCTAGAAGGGATGAATAACTGGAAATTAGAAAAGGGGGCAGAAGTTGGCATGAGGTAATATGTGTGAGGATATGACTAATCAATAAGATTGTGTAGAATGGACAGGAACTAGTGGAAAGACGACAAAGTGATTTTATGTAAAATCACTATAAAAACGCGGTGTTATTAATAAACAGTAATAGAGTGGCAATAAAATATGGATGATGGGAATAATAATGACAATAACAATAATAATATTAAACTTACATAATAGAAAAGAAGCAAAGTTATAGCAAGAGCGTTACTCTGGCCATAGCAGGGTGAGTTAATGTATGTAGAGCTTTTGAATGCAGAGTTCCATTTTCACATCTCGAATAGCTAATGCTTCAGCTATTTACACATGGCATATGCGAACTCCGTTTGCACGATATTGAGGGACTCTGTGAAGCACTCATGTAGGGGTGCTCCATATCCAGAAATAACAAGGTGTTCCAGGATGAAGCTGCTACTTTTCTCCTCTGGCTCACCGAGCTGGATAATGTTCCAGAATACGTTTGTGGACTTCACGTTGAATAATTGAATCTTGTTTTTTATTGCTAATTGCAGTAGATTTCCGTATTGATTTCAGTGTAATGAAGGTCTGTCTTGCCTTCCCGAACCGTGCTGGCTGTGGCTGAAACGATACTACCGTAGAATAGTGAAAGTAGCGACCTCCTTCAAATTTATTCCGCTGATAGTGATTCGTGCTGGTTGTTGGGTTTCTTCATCATATCTGTCTTCTTTCTTTATGTTCACTTAAAGTACTGTCTTTGCTGCATGCCTCTTCTACCAACTTTTTGGTTTCTGCCTGTACGCCTGATTGATTGACTGGTTTCAACGTAGAACTTTGCAACGCTGTGCAGCAGTTCGACTCGCCACACTTCACTCAGCACACAAAGCAGGAGAAGAAAGTAAAAAGAAATGCAAATCAGAGACAGTAAACAGAGATATATTATATAATATAAGTCACAAAGAATTAAATCACCTGTGCCAGTCATTGAGAACGATGAGTTTGAGCCATATGATCAATTTTCTCCAGCCTTCGTTGGTTTTTTACCGTTTTGAGGACGCCCTACCTGTATGTCCTGAAGTTTGTGTGACATTAAACATAAGTCGTCCGTGGAGTCCATATCTTCTGCAGTCTTCTTATCGGTGCTCCAGCCTATTCCTGTCTTCTCACTCCCCATGCACAGTCTGACGCATAATCCAGTCCACTACAGTTAAGAATATCATCGGTAATAATAGGCAGCCAGCCTTGTCTTACTCCTGTATTGACTTCGGACGCCATGCTGAGTTTTCTATTGTAGATCACCTGACATATGGCATTGTCATACAGCCAACTGTTGAATGAGATTGATAGAGATTTGGACACTGCACTACTTCTCTGTCAACGTTGTCGAAAGTCGATGAAATTGAGGTAGAGGTTTAGCTGCCATTCTATACTCTGTTTGATGATTCTGCGTAGCGCTGCAAATTAGTCCGCATATCATTCACTTTTTCTGAATTCTACTTATTCCGGGCAAAATTTTATATCCAAAGCGTGTTTCAGTCTGTCCAGGATGGATAACAACAACAGCACCAAATTAATTGACATTTAAGGGGAAACTTCACCAACAAAATGAAGCAACATGACCAATGTGAACATCTCTCTTCCCATGAATAATAAATGAGATATACTTATGAAACTATGAAGAGAAAACGCTCTAAAATCATTTATATCATTCGTAAAAATGTAAACAAATCAGAAGTCTTGGTAATACATTGCATGTATTCGAATACCTTTTTGCGTATATAAGCAATTTCTAGTCATTCCCTATCGTTACTATGTAGGCCTTTAGGTAAAGCAATAAAAAGACGTAATTTGTTTGAATCATGTACTGTTGTATTTGCGGAACACATTTCGAACAATCTGATCACACACGGACTTGTTATAGGAATATATATATATATATATATATATAAAATTAATAAAGAGTTAAGAGGTGAGAAAATAGACTACTTAGGTCAAGTTAAAAGCCCTTCCTATTGAAGGTGAAAATAACAATGAAGACCACTAAAGCAAATAGGAGAGGTAATAGGACATCTGCTGTGGTATCAAAACAAAATTTACCAAGGAAGGTTTAATGTGATGACGAATTGTTGCTTTGAACGCATAAAGGTGGTTTAAACTTTCTAATTGCCAGCTATGGCTTCCACAAACTTTAGGATACGCCCCGAACACGTTTTGTAGGTTGGTTTAAAAGATCTGTTAAAGACAATTTTATGTCCTGTCTCTATGATATGTTTCGCAATAGAAGAGCTAGGTCTCCTGTTCTCACCATTAATAGGTTCTGAAGATTCCATTTGTTTCTAGAGCCATTTAGGAATATGTTCTGAAGCCCTTACTTGCAGAGATCGATTAGTCCTCTCTATGTATGTATTTCCACAAGTACATTCAAATTGGTAAATATATAGCACATGTACTATTACCTCTGCTATTTGGTTTAGTGGTCTTCATTGTTATTTTCACCTTCAATAGGAAGGGCTTTTAACTTGATCTAAGTCTATTTTCTCACCTCTTAACTCTTTATTAATTTCATATATATATATATATATATATTTTACGAGTTGATCACGGACTGATATCAGTTTGGGAATCATCGGCAGTACGCACCCACTGGGATTCGAACCCAGGACCTTCCGGATACAAGGCAAGCTCGTATACCACTCAGCCACTGGGACCCGATTCAATGGCTCATGAATTCTAACTTCTACCAATTCGCGCTAAAATCACGAATTCATGAGCCATTGAATCGGGTCCCAGTGGCTGAAAGGTATATGAGCTTGCCTTGTATCCGGAAGGTCCTGGGTTCGAATCCCAGTGGGTGCGTACTGCCAATGATTCCCAAACTAGGATGAAACAGCAGCTGTCCAGTACTCCCTGGTTTTCAATGGTTCTCTAACTGATATCAGTCCGTGATCAACTCGTAAAACATAACTAATCCTTACAAACCAAACTATAGGATATATATATATATATATATTCCTATAACAAGTCCGTGTGTGATCAGATTGTTTCAAATGTGTTCCGCAAATACAACAGTACACGATTCAGACAAATTACGTCTTCTTATTGCTAAATGTAGGCCTTATTTATCATAAGAAACTTTGTCTTCATCATTCTGTGTTACTCCTCGTTGCTTTTTGTGTGACTTTATCACATTCTATCATTTAGTATGCACCTAATCTCCGTTGCTAGCCTAATACGGAAAAGGAATCTCGTCTAGTTAACTTGCTCGCTAGTTTTCTAGCCGGTTCTAAGCGCGGGTAAAGAGGAAATCTTGAGCGTGGGGTTAGTAGCCTTCGATGGCTTCATACCAGAGATCAAATGGCTGGCCAGAAAGAATTAGCAACCAGAGACTCTAAAGATGAAAAAACCAACAGGCGAGAGCCGATTGCTGAACAAATATGTAGGAGGAAATGGAGAT